TCACGTATAATTATTTTTTTTATTAGGATATGTAATAATGTAAGTCAACAAAGAAATTATTAATAAAGAGAAATAATAAGAAAAGTAAAGAATAAGACAAGGAGGAAGAGTCATATAAACGAAGGAGAAGCAATAAACTCGTAGAGTTTTGGAATATATTTTAGGGCTTTGTGAGTCTTTGGGTTAAGTTGATATTTTAAAATTAAAATCGATCCGAATCAATTAACTAAATTGAAGAAGAAGAGTATCCTCTCAAATTGAAATCATTTATATCTCTGAAAATTGAATTGTTGATTAATCGGTTCAAATTAAATCGGTTTTTAATTGATTTGTTTAGAATTTGATTCGAGTTCGATTTGATTTGAACATCAATAATCTATTTTTTATTAATTAATTTTTTTATAAAAATAAAATAAAATAAAATAAAATTTTAAAATAAAAAGAAATCAGAAAACGAAGATAGAAGTGAAATTCTAAACGATTAACAGAAAAAGATTATATTCCAATCAAAGCAGATTTGGGAGTTCGCGTGATCACATCATATCTATAAAGTTATAGATATTTATAAGTGATTTCGAAAACCTTAATGCTATTTGTTCCCTCCCCAATTGCTTACGCCTCTCTCTCTCTCTCTCTCTTGGAGTGTGCGATCACCGTAACTGTGGCGCAGCCTGACGTTGCATTGATCGCCACCTAACCCCGGCCCCATGCAGACGCCGCTTCCTGCCGCCGGTTCCAAGTCGTCGTTTTGGTCGTCCCCTAGGGAGATGGTTTTCGCTTCCCTTTCCAAGCTTCGTATCTTTCCCCGGAAGTCATCAACCGGGGGCCCCGACGTCACGGCGCCATCCTTCTCCTCCTCGGCTTCGAGTTCAAGCCAGCAGCAGATGAAGAAGAGCCCGGTAGTCCATCGCTCCTCTTACTTCTCTTTCGTGCCGAGTTATGTTGGCTCAAATTTCTGTATGTTAGATCGAATTGAGTGTTCTGACCCTGATTTTATGATGAAATCTTGGAAAAAAATCGAACTTGATCTGAAGTATGTGATTATGTTAGATGTGTTCCATCTTTTAGATCTGGTTTATGGTTAGATTTACATCCATAGTGTTCCTCGTGTTCGATTTTGGTTGGTAAATGCGCAAGTGATAATTTAATTCTGTACATTTTCGATTAAGGGTATTGTTAGTCTGGAAAAAGTTGCTCTCTTTACTGATTTATTTGCCCTTTGTGTTTGTAGTGATTACATTTGAATGGATACTCTCTGTTTCCAGTGACTGGAAATGGTCGAACTTGGAATAGAGTTTGGGATGAAGGCTTTACAAACAATTTAATGCTACCACTCATCAGTGACCTGTTAGCACCATTCTGATCATAGCTATTAATTAAAAAAAAATGTTATGCCATATTACTTTAAACCAAGATCCTTGTGTGTTTAGTACTAGAAGAATTTTGAATATAATGGAATTGGCTTTATTTCAAATACAAAGTTGCCACCAGTTCATTGTTAACTAAAGCAGTAGAAAATTTCCCCGTTTTAAAAACAAATTATCGGGGGAACATGTTCTGCATTTGCTTCTAGAGTTTACTTTCATGTTTTTGTTTTACTTTTGGAAATCATCTGACTTTAAACAAGATCAGGCTGTCAAATTAGTAATAGACTTTGGCTAGACTTGCATGGCATACATATTTAGTTCACTAATATATATGAGAAATATACCAAGCCAATCTTGAGACTTAGAAATAATCGGTCCTTTTAAAGTTTCTATATAGAAATTGAATATTTTTTTTCCTGTTTAAGTATTAAATGCTTAGGTAAGTAGCAGTTCTATGTACAAACATGCAAGCTGATGATGTAGTATCTAAAATGATAAGGTATTGAGATTGGAAACTTCTTTCTATCAAAGGACGATTTTCTATTTCTTTCCCAAGTCATGCAAAATTATTGGTTTGTCTGGAAAGTAGAAACAGAGATGAAAAGAATATACTGAATAACAACTCAAGAAGCAATAAAACATAGGGTCTTACTTCAGAGCACTTGTTAGATATATATAACCTTCACGATTTACATGATACATGGATGATAAAATATTGCATAAACATCGTAACTATGATCTTGGAGCTTGTGTTGACGGATACCATTATAACATGATAATCAATCACCAATGTGATACATGTATGTTCTTTTTTTTGTTGGGGTAGATGTGCGGTGGGTGGAGCAGGGCATGGATCCAATTAGTCTTAACAAATATCCATTCCTGATTTGGCATGACATGAGTCCTCCAGCCACCCAAAACTTTGTCATCATTCTGAGACCTTGACAGATAATAATTATAAATGCTCAAAAAGTGACACCATGATAAAGTTTGATTCCATAGCATGGCTCATGGGAATCAATGCCATAGTATCTAATTTCCTTGTAAAAGCCTGAAGTGAATATATGGGAAATTCCAATTTCTGAAGAATTGTGTTAGAACATGTTTTTTCAATTAGGAGTTTTCCATCTAATTATGTATGGTCTTTTGTTGATGTATTTATGTTGCTACATCAGCACTTTTAATGTTATATTGTTACAGCATTGGTGATTTGTGAGTTGGATTACTTTGTTTCCATATTTGTCTCCTGGATCAGGATTCTTTTTGAAGTAAACAATCATTGACATCCTTGCTAGAGCTTCCTTTCTTTGTAATATCCATGTTTTCTATACATAACCTTATCTTATTTCTCGCTTTGTTGTCTTTTTACTTGAATGCAATATTACACCCAGCTGCACAGCAGAAATCAGGGAAGTCATTTACATGTTTGAAAACACTCGAATAACTTATTTTTCATATCTTCTTACTTCAAAATCCACTTTGGTAATACTATCTTGTATCGTGAGCTGTGCGGTCATGAGATGTCAATGTTGCTTGATGCTAGTGCCTAGCTATTTCCCTTGTACTTGTTGGTTTAATTGAACGAAAGATTGACATCAGGTTAAAACAATGATTTTTACAAAAATCTGGTTTTGTATTGCAATCTATACGATATGAAGTGGAGATATTGCTTGATACTAGTTGCCTATTTCTTTCCTCTTATTGGTTTAATTTTCTGGAAGGTCGATAGCAAGTTAACAAAATTTTATTGGTTACTGGACTTCTAATCGTTTAGGTTCAAACTGTTCTTTGTGGTGTAAATTATGATGATCCCAATAATGTTGTTTGTTGATGAAATCGTCCCATATTACAAGAATAAGCAAACTTTGGCATATGATAGAATTTGTCAAAAGCAAGAACGTATTTCAGCTACTTCACCTTTACAGTATTCCTTTGTCTGAAACTCCTGAATAGTTTTTAAACCAATATGGTGAATTATCTGGATAAAAAGGCCTTTCATTTTTGAATGCTTCATCGATGCTTGTAGTTTCAAATATCTTCATGCTACAAAAGATGTTGAACTTGTTAAGTTTACAATTTTGAGCTAGGAACATTGAGTTCTTATGATTCTGATGACTTTAAACACAGACTATACTTATGTGGATGATTATGATGAACATGAATATGATGCTAAATCAGCAGAGAACTACTGCATTATAAGTTCAACTGCCAAATTGATAAGTTGTGCCATCTTGTGCTGAGTCAACTTTTTTATGGTTGCAGAATTCTGCAGGGGAAAATACAAGCAAAAGCAAGATGAAAACAACATTTGATGATGAAATTGACATGAAATACAGATTGTTTAAACAATTTGATGTAGTTCAAGATCATTCAGATCACTACTATAAGTTTTCTAAAATCAAGGTGGTCAATAAGTGACATTCATGTTCTTTTAATCAGTAGTTTGTTGAGTATGGTCCCAAATTATCTTGATATTTTGCAGCGGCTTTTCCCTTTACAGCCAACAAAAGATTGGGTGAGGTGGATTCAGCATGAGTGGAAGATCCTAGAAAATGATCTACCTGGTCTGTACATGCTGCATGATGGTCAATTTTTTATGTCTTTTTCAATGCTATAAGTTTGTCTAGATCTCAACTTCATGCCTTGTGATCAGCAGGAAATCCTTTTCACCATACTGAATGGTTCTCTATATCAGCATATTGCTGATAAAAATTGAATATATGGTTTTGGATGTTTTCAAAAGGATCTCAACTTTATATGTTGTTTAGTTTAGTACTTACATCAAATTTTCTCAAAGTGATGTAGCTAGAAGAAATCATAAATCAGATGAACTCTGTAAAAACACAACCACTCCCCTCTCAGAAAGGAAGAGAAATAAAATATGTGCAAATTGAATTAGAGCTACATGTTTATTAATCTTAAGGATTATCATGACTTGCATGTGTATGGAAATCCTATATATATATAAAAAACAATATGCTTTGCTTGCCAGGTGTGGTCCACGTCAGTCACAATATCATATTTTAACTCAAGTTATGCAAGCAAGAATTTTGCATCAAAAAAGTATACTAGTCAAAAGAGTTAGGTCCTCAAAGAGAACTTATAATTGTTGCCCAAATGTATGAGGATTAAAAAAATGTTGAAAGATCTGTTTTTCTGATGTATAAAATAGAATATTCTGATAACTGGATTATACTATTGTTCTCCAAATTTATTTGCATCAATGCTGCAGTTGATTTTGTGGGAGCCAGTTTGCGATGAATCTATTTTTGCATTAGTTGTTGAACCTAGTTTTAGTAAGAAGCATAAAAATCTTTGGAGCATGTTTATAGTCCCTCTTTTGGCTTCTTTACCTTGTTCACTTGTTCATGAACAGAGACAATATATGTAAGGGCGTATGAAGAAAGGATGGATATTCTAAGGGCTGTTATTGTTGGACCAGCTGGAACTCCTTATCATGATGGCCTTTTCTTCTTTGACATTTTCTTTCCTCCAACCTATCCCCAGAAACCTCCAGTAAGTGAAATCTTTAACCATACCGGCCGATACTTGGGTACTCAATTGTTATTTTTTATTGACAAGGTTAATTTCCACATAATACCATGCAGGAAGTTTATTACAGATCTGGTGGACTTCGAATAAACCCAAATTTGTATGATTCTGGTAGAGTTTGTCTTAGCCTTCTCAACACATGGTCTGGCGAGGGATGTGAGAAGTGGATACCATACAAGTCATCCATGCTGCAGGTTCTGGTCTCTATTCAGGCTCTAGTCCTGAATGCCAAGCCATTTTTTAATGAGCCAGTATATGCCGAGATAAAAAGTACACCTGATGTAGAGAAGCGATCCCTGATTTACAATGAGGGTGCTTTTGTTTTATCCTGCAGAACGATGCTGTATTTGGTTAGGAATCCCCCAAAGGTATGTGCGACACTTTCTTTTCTGTAATTTTGTAGATTTTTCAAAGTATCAACACATATAATTCGGAAGCTTCAAATTCTTTACATGACTCTGGCATTTACAATGGTTGTTTTAGCATTTTGGGGACTTTGTTGCTGGACATTTCCGAAAGCATGGAGGCACCATCCTCAAAGCATGTTACGCTTACATGAATGGTGTTCAAGTTGGATGCACAATCAGTCAAGGGATAAATGAAGTTATTGAAGGCAGCAAAAATTTCTCAGCGTCATTCCAGACATCCCTGAAGTTGTTATCTAAAGACCTTTTAAGGGAATTCACTCGGAAAGGAGCTGACTGCTCCGAATTCCTTGCTCTGGTTGAAGTCAAAAATTAAGCTGCCAGAAAAGCAGGCGATATTTTAAAATTATGAAGCCGAACTCTCTATTGATCTGCCCTACAACTTTGCTAGATTACACATTAATAATTGTCTACCTTACAAACAATATTAGCTTATAGATTAGATTGGGCCGCAGGCCTTTTTTTGCTAAAAACTTAATAGATTATTTGGCACTATAAATGATTTGATTGTCCAGCTTATCTGACATGTAAATACCATATCTAGATATTCTAGCTTCTGATGTTGAAGGTCTGAATTGGTAGTGTAGGATTCTGTACTTTGCCTTAATTTTTCTTTTGATTTCTAGAGTCTATATTCGTGTTTTTCATATTGGTGCTCTGAACTCTTTCTTAAAGCAGATCTGTGAGTTGAGAGAATATGTTGGACCATAAATGTTACAGTGAAGAGGAAGAAACACTATTCAATAGTGCCTCAGATAAACAAACTTGAGTACTAACTGGCAGAAATCCTATTCAATATCATTCTTTTATTGGTGATTTTAGATCATGCTACTGAAATTATTTATGAGTTTTTAATGTACTGAACTCTGTCACAAAATTCACAGGGAAAATTCCTGAAATGTTTCTGGCCAATGCACAAGTTTGCCTGTAAAAAGATAGGCAATTTGTGTTCCATTTGTCAGATAACTACTAAAATCTTTCGAGTGATTAATAATTGTTTGACATGCTACAGTTTGGTGCACAAATTGCTCTCAAGCTTTTGCATCCTATAAATTTGTCCTCTTGAGGGATAATATTTATATTATCATATATCTTTTAAACCTCCCATCTTCTTTCTATTTGATCAAATATATTTCAAGAAAATTTATGATTCATACAAAGAAAATGAAATTTGTCATACTACCCATGCAGCATAATTGTTGATGACCCAAATTTATGATTTTATAGCTCCAATGGAACCCCCAAAATAATAATAATAATAATAATAATAAATATTCGAGAAAATTGGTGCATTATTATTAGTTGATGAGAAATATTTCTACTTACTGTTTTATTCATTTAATATAATTAGCTTTAGTAAGAAATTAGTAATTTACGATTTTGACCCTGTGTAGGAAGCTATTATGAACCGGTCCATAGTGCTAGACCGTGTCTAATTGCAACGGTCCAATTTCCTAGACCGGTTAGCCCAATGTCGGACCATTCTCCGCGGCGCCAACCTTAATCGCGCTCTATATAAGAACCCCTCTTCTACTAGGGTTTGCGGACCTCATTGCGGCGGCGAGGAGGTGCACGATCCGGATCGATCGGGCGCGGCGGCTAACGGGAAGGAGAGGAAGATGGTGAAGTTTCTGAAGCCGAACAAGGCGGTGATCGTCCTGCAAGGGCGATTCGCGGGGCGGAAGGCGGTGATCGTGCGAGCCTTCGACGACGGCACCCGGGAGCGGCCCTACGGGCACTGCCTGGTGGCCGGCATCGCCAAGTACCCGAAGAAGGTGATCCGCAAGGACTCCGCAAAGAAGACGGCCAAGAAGTCGCGCGTGAAGGCGTTTCTGAAGCTGGTGAACTATAGCCACATCATGCCCACCCGCTACACACTCGACGTCGATCTCAAGGACGTCGTCACCCTCGATGCGCTCCAGTCCCGCGACAAGAAGGTCACCGCATCCAAGGAGACGAAGGCTCGCCTTGAGGAGCGCTTTAAGACCGGAAAGAACCGATGGTTCTTCACCAAGCTCAGGTTCTAAAGCAAAGTAGCGATCTTTAGTTTCATTTCTGACGCTGCTATTTTCATCTACATGAGATGGCATCATTTAATTCATGGATGGCATGTTATTTGTCTGTGTGGTTTCACCTGTTTTTAGGACATGTCACGGTAATTTCCTGGATACTAAATGTTTTCAGTCTGAGTTCATGCTGTGTTAGGATAATTTTGATAAATTGGATATTTAGGTGAGTGGCAGTTTGATTTGGTTTGCGTCATCTGTTGATCTTCGTGATGGTCGTCTAATTGCTGTGAGGAATCTATTTGGAAATTCTCTTGATATATATAGTAGTGACCCAGAGATTTCAACAAGATAATTTTTGTCTGAAATCTTCTGGTTGCTAGGAAAGCACGCTCTTGCAGGGGAGTCGAATTGTTGATTGCTGGATTCAAGGAGCATTTTTTATGTTCCGGATTTTTTGCGTTCTTGGAGTTCTATAAGAAAGGTTATACTGTTATTAGAATATGATTCACTAGACATATGGTCTCTGCATTTTCACTTGTTTTTTCTTCCTTGAAAAAATATGGACATCATGAACTTATCGTTATCTTGCTTGAAAAAAATACATGGATGATGGTCAGGGAGGCATGAGTGGGTGGGTTAGGCCTTAGGTTGGTGAGATGAGAAAATGGGGAAGAATGAATTAAAAGAACAACAAAATAAATAAGGATTAAGTCAAAGCATACTGTAAATAACTCTTAACAAACTGAAAACAAGTTGGTCGGGTTTAGAATGATTTGGTTTCAGGTTGGCTTGTAGCTTGGCTTAAGAACATTGGTTTGGACCTAAATTGACCCAAGACCCAGCCCAATATGTTATTAGAAGTCATATCAATAACTTCACCAGGAAACAAGGAATGTCTAGCTATATATGCCTTGTAGTGCTTAGTGTTATTATTATCCTTAGCCTTATATATTATAGAATAGGATGATATCACAAAGTAATCCTGGTTTTGTCCTAATGGACTCGGCTCTTCTGAACTGGTTAGAGCTCTGTAGTTCTTTGCTTTTGTTTTTCTTGATGTCCTGGCATTAAGGTTTTATGATGCATTTGGGAGACACACGATATGTCCTTGGAAGGAAGGAATGAGTAAGCTGAGCAAATTGTGGACAGTTTATACTGAAAGTATATTGTGCTATTTTTTCTCAGCTTTATTATTGGTTCTTTGCTTTTGTTTTGCCTGATGTCCTGGCATTGAGGTTTTATGATGCATTTGGGAGACACATGATATGTTCTTGGAAGGAAGGAATGAGTAAGCTGAGGAAATTGTGGACAGTTTATACTGAAAGTTTATGTAAGTGTGCTATTTCTTCTCAGCTTTATTGTTCTGTCATGTTTAGTTGCTCAGGAAGGTGTGGGAAAACTTTCTATAGGAATGTGAAGGTGTGTGCTACATCTTATTAGTGGGGTCATTATCTCTTGTTATGCATCAGAAATATGCCTGTTCTTTCTCCTTGGGTTTCTCTTGTTATCTCTTGTTATGCATCGGAAATATGCCTGTTCTTTCTCCTTGGGTTTCTCTTGTTATCTCTTGTTATGCGTCGGAATATGCCTGTTCTTTCTAGAGAGTGCAGGGGTGGTCTCTTTGTTCAGTTCTTGACTGGATGGGTTTAGTAGTAGAAGATTTCTTGGAAAGACATCGATTTATATAATGGATATTATTGATAAAAGGAAGCAATAGTTGTTTTTTGCCAATTTGAGGTGGCTTTACATATTTTGACGACGAAAAGCCATGTTTTGACAACAATGGGGTAATCAAGATGGACTGCATAGAAGTCGTCATGCATGGAGCATATATTATTAGGGGTCAGTTGAGAGTTAGTGTGATATTTTATAATGTTTATGCCCACAAGCAATATTATATTGTGCACAAATTAGAGTCTTATGGATAAAAATATATTGTTCATAGATTAAGAATTAAATGATTTTTTGTGTGATCATCGTGTATATGTCGGACTAGTAGAAATATTTTCTAATTAATTGATAGTTCAATGAATGATGTTTTAACTTTTATGGATCGAAGTGTTGGACTATTATTAAGTTTACGGTGGAGATGAAAATGTTCGAGTTAGAATGTGTTTAGTTATAGCAATAGAAAAATGTATCTTTTTGATAATTTCTTAGATGCTATAATTAAGGAGATTACCATCAGATGTTATTAAAACTATAATTATCTTATAATATAAAACATTATTTCTTGTTATACTGTTCACAAAAGTGTCTACGACAAATGAACAACGACCTAACTATTGAAGGAATCTACAACAAATTACTTTCTCTCTCTTAACGCCTACACCAGAAAGAAAATATTTGCTGTTTTCACATCAAGAAGTCATCCTCGGGCATTTCCACTAGCAATGAATACTTGACTCTAAGAAAGATCTTGCCACCATCGACGCACAACTTAGCCCCGGTGACCACCCAGTACCCTGGTAGATCATCTGGCCCCCTCGAAGCCTCTGTTGTATCGACAATTCTCGACATCTTTGGCATCCTGATCGGCACCGGCGGGCCCTTCGGGTAGATTGCGGAGTTCACCTCCACCATCGGCTTCGGTTCGGGTATGAGACCTGTGCTGAAGCGCGAGGTGATCAATGTCGAGATGATGCCTGATTTCCGTGACACCACAGCCGGTCCGTTCCACTCAGACCTTCGGATTGTCATCGAAGTGACGTTGGAGAAACCGAGCCTAAGAAACAGCACCTTCCTCATGCCCATCTCCTTCACTTGCAGCCAGGCCTTGGTCACTATGGAGGCAGAGTCATCGATGCAGGCTCCATTGTATTGTACAGGAGCCGTGCAGACGTGAGAGAGCAGTGACCACTTGATGGGCTCATAATACTGACGGTCGTTGAACAAGGTGTCATCATCAGCATAAGTAGTTGCATCGGAGAGCTGGTACATGTTAGGGAGCGAAGAGAGGTGTTGGAGGTGAACCGCTAAGCGGTCGTTCCGCTTGCCTTCCAAGTACAGCCGAATCCCTGTCACCGGACGGTTCCCTGAATCAACCTGTATCATTAGATATGTTAAATAGAAATATCGAAGATACCACGACGACACCGAGAAAAAAAAAAAGAATAAGTAGAAAATTATAGAAAAACACGGGGATATATGAAAACCATAAAGACAATGGACAAAATTGATGCGCAAAGTTTCAAAATAAACATGCTGATCAGCCACCTCCTTGACGTGTTCAATGTCATCCTCATATAATCCGTCGGCTAAAAGGGGGATTATTTTTCTAATTCTACTTACTGAAGAATAACACAAGGTTCATGATCACTATTTATCAAGGAGAAGAGAGACTTCATCATCAAATAATCCATCGGCAGAACGGAAGATTATTTTTCCAATACTACTTACTGAAGCATGACAGAAGGTTCATGGTCACTCACTATTTAATGCGGAAGAAAGATTTCAAAATATTTCATGGCAAGAGAATCAACATTAATATTTAATAAAAGTTCATGGTTGTTGGGTGGTTGATGTCAACATATCAAAAGAATAACCTAAAACAACTCAGACCTATTGTTCAAGACGGAAAGTCTTTTAAGTTTGGGGTTACCTTTCAAGTTACGGGCAACCTAAACGTATCCATCGACAAACCAGCAATGACCAAGCATGCATTTTCAGCCACTTGTGCTGCCCAAATGACCATATTATGGCAAGAGTATATGTTGTCAAATAACCCCAAAATTATCGGCAAAGAACTCGAAAACATATTCGATATCATCTCAATGGCAAACAATTTTTTTTTGACAAAAAAATTGAGATCAGCATTTTACACTACTACTCTAGAATGATTCAGATAAAAGAAAGTTGCTATTTCAGTTCCCTGACTACTGACAGTACAGTAGTAAACCTACTTGAAGCAATACTGCATCTCGTAAAATGGCTTTGACTAGTCTGGTTTGCTAGAATCACCCAGAAAAATTCAGAAACTAACAAAAAAGTATTGGAAAGCACTGATGGTTACCTGGATGTTGTTAACATAAAGCCTTGGACCCAAAAGCGTGAACTGGAGTGATTGTAAACTCTGCTTTTTTAGTCGTGGACCAAGAGGGAGCTCACCAAATGCTGGAGCCCATTGACGAGGTATTTGGAACTCCAAAAAATGTCCAAGTTCTTCAATTGGTGGCTTGTCTGAGTCATTAATGAGAACAGAATCAGAAGCTTCACTATGCAAGATAGAGAAAATGGCAGACATTTCAAAGCTACCCACATATCAAACAAAAAATGCATATTAGTAGTGCAAGATTTGCTTTCAGACAAAATGTATCAGAATAGGATCTTCATGAAGAAGGAACAGCAAAATATATGCAAAGACAACCAGACACAGGAGAGACTCTTATTTGAAAATACATAAAGTAATAGGTGTTTTTTTCCTTTTTTTAGTTCAAAGGGTCAAGTGAAGAAGGCAGGATTCAAATCCTGCAATAACTTGTCAAAAGTTTTTATCAGCCAAGCTAGCTGACACCTTCAAGATAATAGATTATTACTTATGAGGCAACCATTTAGAATACGCTATCCTCAAGATCAAAAACAAAGCAAGAGGTTTTATAATTAGTTGAATCTTAACATGTGTTTGGTATCACTCGGCAATCTTATAATACTTGCATATGGCATGACTTTATGCATATGGGGTAACTACAGATCTTATAGAGGGCTCAATATTAATTGACAGTGTCACTCTCTCTCTCTCTCTCTCTCTCTCTCTCTCTCTCTCTCTTAAAAGAATAGTGGTCGGAAAGATATCTGCATACTTACATCGGAGGTAAAGGTTCACTGCATGACTTAGGAACCCACTTCCTGTAACACCATTTAACAGAGAAGTTATAGGTACAAAAGACATTGTTACCAAATCTGGTGACTGTGGAATAGTTGCAAGCCATTTGTTATGGCTTTGATTATTGTTGATTCCTCCTCTTCTGACAACAATGCTTACTATATCCTGCAGTAAAGAGAACATGGAGGTTAAAGTATTGTAAGTAAAATTTCATATAAAGAAACACTTTTCCAATTAAATAAGAAACTTACATCCTTTTTTGAGTGTGATATAATAGATGACTGAACAGATGTAAAAAATGCTGCATTGTTTTCCTGTTTGTCAATCTTCTTGTCCTAAAACGCATAGAACATAAAAATATAACTATAATGATTCCATGTTATTAGCTCAATACGATACAATCAAATAATTAAGTTCCATATATTTACAAAATTGTATGCTTGCAGCAGGCTGTGAGGTGTATATCGCAAAGTTAACTATGCCACTAATTGCTAACATGTCTCACTGGGTTTTGCCATCTATTCTCCATAAAATGTTTTAATATTTTCTAGTACTCCCTCGAAGTTAGGCTCTTAACAAGTTCAAGAAGTGATTTCAGCGCAATGCCATGAGTCACTAAAATAATGAAATGGACAAACAGTCGAGAAAGGGTAAAGCCTTCGATGGTTCTCCATCAAAGGATTGTGGTTTTGATAATCTTTTTACTTTTGCATAAGATTCGTGTTCTCATAGTTACCTTCGGCTTTTCTGATGATTTGCCTTCTCCCAGGATTAAGTCTCCATTTGTAGTTTCAGAGAATCTCTCATCAGCTAGCTTCTTTAGAAGATTCTGCACATCAGTTTCCTGAAGAAGTGAGTCCTGCTGCTGTTTAACGCAGACTACATCTTTACCACCCATCTTCAATCCAACAATGATGTGAGTGCCATATTTTTCGATAAATCTGGATATTTGAGTAAAAAAGGTTCAAGCAATAATGTCAAAAGTAAAAGAAAAGAATTCAAGCTAAGACTGGCATTTCCAATATCTAAACGATTATTCTACTCAGTGAGGAGAACATTAACATAAAAAAAAGAAATGTTGCATTTCCTTTGGTACAACTAAAAGAAATAATGAGAGGATTGCAAGACAGATAATAAAGCTGGTTCTTTGTGGTCAATCCCCAATGAGAAGAATGTTGTGAAGGGTAGGATCTAAGGAACAATCATCCAAATCACCAGGAAAAGATTAATATCCATGGATTGATTAAGATGGATTTGTAGCAAGGTAGACAGATCCTATTTGAGCTTAAAATGCAACATAAGGAAGAAAAATAATCAGAAATAGCAGAAAAATGAAAGGGTTAAAGTTGTCAATTGGACCGATGATCCAGAATATTTGCAAGTCGAGGCATTATGTTGTTTTTTTGTTATTGCTAAAGGATCAGGAATTGCTGACATCAATATTCAGAAAGTTCATGTTCCTAAAAACGTTGTTCTAAAACAAATCCCAATTTACATGTGCACATGAAAGAACTTCTTGGAAGTTTCTCAAAACCAATCCTCCTATGAAACAAAAGCATGCTTATACAACATGCCTATATATGATAATATGTACACAGATGCTGCATATATCACGTTGGCCTGATGTTTTGTTTGAAGAATTTAGGCCTGATTGTTAAGCATTCCAAAATGAAAATTTCACCACCTACACTATATGTTAAGAAAAAAGAGAAGGCCTGTAGTGGTTTTTAAATTATAAAGCATTTGTTTTCATATGGATTTGATTTATAATGCAGAACCCCTGTAATTGGTATCACTAGAAATGAAGCCTCAAACGTCCCCATGAGGTGGTATGTCATGATTAATGAATGTGCAGGCAAAATTTTCCCTGCATAGGAAATGAAAATTCTAGCAGTCTCGTGAAGGCTGTTGGTCAAACTAGCTGGGCTCTTTGGAAAATCAAGAATTGGAGATGAAGATCGAAACTAGCAATTTACAGGAGTTTTGATTAGAGTTCAAAAAGGGGAGCTTCTCACTGAGATTTATTTGGATTATCTGAAGAGGACTTACTCGGCCAATGCAGCAGGATCCCATGAGGATGGAACTTCTTGCTTAACTTTGTCAAGCAACACTACTCGAGAGCTCACAAGCTCGACACCGTAGAGAGTTACGTACCAAGCATCGAAGGCGAGGCTCTTGGTAGCTGATGCGTCCTTCTGCCAGCGTCCCCTGAAATCAAACATGGCGTTGAACGTACCAGAGGGTATTTTCCCCGACAGCGAAAGACACTGATTGAACTGCTCCGCCATCTGATCACAACCCAAAGATCAATGTTGAGAGAAAGATTATAGAAACATTTCTGGCTATAAATTAAGGCATAGGAACAAGCATCGCTGGTAGGGAAATAACAAATTTTGATGGTGGAGACAGGTCATAGATGCACGGGAACCAAAAGGGGGCCATCGATCGGATCAAAGACCTGGTGAAACGAGACGACATCGCTCCGGAACCTCGTCCTCGACCCTCTATCGCACTCGATGGACTTGGGGACGTTGGGAACCACGACTCCTCCCGGCAGAACGAGGTCGTGGGCGAGGCTTTGGTCGAGCTCGATCAAGCGGCGGCCTTCGGGATCGGGCTTCACGTGGGAGAGCCAGAGGTCGGAACACAGGTCGTAGCCGCAGCCGATCGCCGCCACGGCCTTCTCGGCCACCGCCTCCTGCGTCATCTCGGCCCGACCGGAAGGCACCATCATCATCATCGTCACTATCCTCAGGGATGGGTGTAGGGCGGAGACGGGAGCGAGGAAGAGCAAGAAGAGGAAGAGGAAGAAGCCATGGACGAGGACTTCGTCGTCTTCCACACTTTATCCCCATCGTTACTGTTACGGACACAGAAGCTTCTTCCCATTTGCCCCCGAAAGCTATTGATGGATTGACCGCGATGCCACTTAAGGCGAAATGTGGCCGTCGGATCCACGGCCGAAGAAGAACCCGTCAAACCCGTCACTATAGCGACATGGGTCCGATAAAGAACCATTAGACCCGTTAAGTGCCCATGTGATACGCCAGTCGTAGCTTTTGCGACCATTCTCGTGATCGGTGCTATCCGCTCCATATGGAGCGTGTTTAGTCTTCCACGTCATATATCCCCTCGGATTACATTCTAAATCTTTTATATTTAATTTTTTATTTTGATTCTCTTAATTTTATGAAAAGAATAAGATCTTTATTGTATGAAAAGGTGAGTAATAAGAGGATGAATTCATGTGAAAATTAATATAATACTTATGAACAGAATTAAAGAAAATAATGTGTGACGGTCGAGCTGTCCAATCAATTGATGGTGGTTTTATATTTATTTTATCCCAAAATTGGATTGTCGATATTAATTAATTAAGCAAAAAAATTGACTCAAAACTACGGTCGTCTTCGTACGAGTCGTGACGTGGAGACCTCTGGCGGGGTGGGGATTTCGTGCTTGGCACCAGTCAGCGTTCACGGTTGCGGTGTGAGGAGGACGGCTATGGGATGCGACGCTCGTCGAGGAACGACTCATGGAACGATTTAAGGCGCGAAATGAAGGTACTGCCTTGTTCTTTTTGCCTATCTGCACGCAATTATTTCTGCTCTCCCGTGAGGCAACAATGCGGATGGGACCCACCGTTGCACAGGCGTTGATTGGATAAGAATGAAGAAGCGTGGTCCGTCAAACGCGTTGACAGACGATCCAGATTGCCAATAAAAAGCTTTCCCGAGCGGCACCGAAGGGACGAAGATCTCTCCGTCGATCGGCCGAGGAGCGCGGATCTGCACGAATCTCGAAGCAATATGGATGCCAATCACAGTCGACTTCGCATGAATCGTAGCTTTCTTACAATTCTGCCCAAACCCGCCCCCAAACACTTGAATCGTACCTCTCTCTCTCTCTCTCTCTCTCTCACTCTCTCATTCCGGGGAGTACAGCAAACCAAAGATCTCAATCTTGCCTAGCCCTCCTCCTCCTCTTTTTGTTATACCAAATTCCTCTTCTGATCCTCCTTGGAGGAAGTCAAAGGAGAAGAAAATGTCGAACAAAAGCCGATCAATGTCGTTTCCTTGATGGCTCTACAACTTGCCCCTTTTAATATTGGGACTACATTAAGGAAATTTGTCAACCCTTGAGTCGATTGGTTGCTTTGAGGATACTTAATCGTGGACTAGTTTTTCTTCGCATGAAAATTTTGTTTCTTGTCGCGTTTGTCGAGGGTCTCTACGCGTTCTTGTGTTTCTCTAATGGTTGAATCTGCGTTCTCTTCGGTGGTGCCTTTGATGGTGTAGGAAGTGTAGAGGCGGAGTAGTGGCTAGATCATTTGGATTGCCGGCCCAAGACTGTGGAGCTGGGATCTTGAAGGCCTGCGGTGTCTGGCGAAGCAGTGGTTGGATGACTTTACACTCTTCGGTATGCCTTTGGACCTCTGCAATGCGCTTTCGTTTTTATTCCGATACTTGATTCTACGTAGGGACATGATGGCGACGATGGATCGGGTCTTCGGCGGTGGAAAGCTTGTTCGTTAGAGAACTTCCCTTCTCGCTGATTGTAATTCTTAAGAAAAACCCCGCTTCTTTTGTGGGGTCTGATTCGATGTCGGCAAAATCTCGCTCTGGAGCATAGATGCCCATCCGCTATATCTTAGGGTTTTTTTCGAGTCATAAAGGAGCTGCCTTTCGTGTCACGATCAATGGAGAATCGTGGATATTAGGGCTCTGAAAAATCTAGTCCTTGGTTTTCATGGGCAAAATCACTTTTTCGAGAAAAAGGATATGTTAACTATGCTAAAGGGAGTAAAAGATTTTGTATCTTTAGCATCATTGTAGATATCATTTGATCTACATGAAGCTCCTAATTTGTTTCATCTCCTTCCTACTAAATATACGAGATCTTTCACACTCCAGCTTAGCTTTGTGTTTGAATGAGTGCTAATAATTAGTTCATTCTTGAAAAGATGGCAAGTATTAACAGCCATTTTTCATGCTTTACATTTGGACATATGTAAATTTATGTTGTACAACTGCATTAGCAAGAAGCACATTCTGGCTTGAGTAAATGAAAAGGTAGCTGATCTGTTAGTTGTGTATTTTTTGTTATGCAGATTATTCCAATGTAGCATCACTAGTGTTGAATCTTAGAAGCTAACTTGATACTGAGTCCTTAATCAACATGCTTATCTAGATCTATACTGGAAAATAAAGTTGTGTCCAAAGTAAGTGCTTGTAGTTGTGGTTGGCATTTGGGGTGTTTATATACATTATTATCATGATTCTTATCTTTTTCTTTCATCTTTCAGGAGTTACTTGAGTGAATCATTGAAAGACTACCTAAGACAAGAAAATGACATCACAAAGGGATGTGTTTGAGGTCTCAGGACCTATACATCTGACCTCAGTAAATTGGTAAATTCAATCGGTTTTTCTACATTTTGCAAACCTTTCCTTGACAATGGCATTCTACACAACTGTAGGAAATTACTGCTCTATTCAACTTTCTGATCATCAAATCCTTATCACTTTATGATGCTTTCTTATATAAATTTATACACCAGTGTAACATGGACAAGTTGTCATGGTAGTTTGTTGCCTAGAGCCTGGTAGACCGTCAATTGTTGCATGTCTCCTGGATTGCTTCAAGAATGGTCTAAACTGAAATAAAAGATGAGGACAACCATCTGACCATTCCATGGTTAAAAATGATTTAATCATACTTGAACCACAATTTATATGCTGAAGGATGAATATATCTGGAAGCATTTATCAAAGGTTGAGAGTTTGAAAAATATTTTTACATCCAATGTAGTGTATCGGACCCACTTACTAAAGATCGAGGATTTGAAATTTTATTCAATGTATTTTTGATGAAATTTTATTCATTAGTACATGATCTAGGTAAATATGCCTCAAACACTCCTGAATATGTCCTAAGTTCCTGAATTTGTCCAAGAGAAACTTGGTCATGCAACCTTGGATGATAAAAAGGAGCGTAAGACTGGGTGGAAATAAAACAGACCAAATGGGCAATTTGTTTATTTTTATTGAGTTCAAATTAAAATCACGTTCCAGGTAACCTTCACTCCTGGATCGACCACTGATAATGTATTTATATCCTTCTTGTCGATTACATGTAGGTTACAATAGTGGAGAAACTTTTGCTAAACTGGAAAGTCAACATGTATCACCACCAACATCCCAAGACACTCTGAAACACATCTCGAAATGATACAGTTTGGCAAAAATATTACATTAGAATGATAGCCACAGAATAAGGATAAACCATGTTGAAACCTGCGGGAATGGTAAATCCACCATTCTGAAAAGTAAAGGTGGATGAAGAAATAGCTTCTTCCACAGTAATATAGGATAGGATGTAAATGGAAAGAAATGAAAATTAGTGAAAATGCATAGTATTTTTCCCATCTTTCACTGGCTGATTACCTTTTAAATAAAGGTTTGTAATTCAGTAGATAGACAGCACCCTGCTCATTGGAACCAACTGATCATATCTCATCACTAAATTTTGTAGCTGAGCCTCAGTGATCAACAATCAACCTATCAGTGTTTAATAGTCAAAGCCATTAAACACTCATAACTTTGGTAGCAAAATATATATCTTACCTCCCTTATTGTATGTGGCAATAAAATTTAACCAAGTAAATTTTAAAACATTTGTCACGTATGTGTAATCAACCTTGTGACCTTGTGACCCTTATCTAAATTGGCTTGGTTAAATTTTATTGCCACATACAATAAGGGACGTAAGATATATATTTTTTTTGCTACCAAAATTATGAGTTTTTAATGGCTTCGACTATTTAAATTTTTTTTCACCATTTCTCAAGAAACAGTTGGTACTTACATGGTCCTAAACTTAGTCTGAGCCTTTTCAGTTTGCAATGAAAGTTGTTACATTCATAGATTTCATTGTTTACGTAAGAACAAGTACTTTTAACAACCTGGTTAAATTAAAATCAAAATTCTTCTGCATCATATATATGTAGTTCTTGACCATTCTGCATTATAAAAGAACTCACTTTTTTCATTTTGTCCACATAATTTTATAAAACAGAAGTTAAAAAGTAAAGGAAGAATGAAGTATTGGTTATTAGTGGGATGATTCAGGAGTCTTTCTTTGTTTGTAGGTTGCCTTAACAAGAAAAGATCCCCTATTTATTTGAGCTTCCCCATGAATCCAGTACAAATTTATGAATTGTAGCATGGAACCTTCTACTCCATGGCATGGTGTATGCATGTGAGCAAATCTGGTAGTTCCTCATCCTCACATTAGCTCTTCATATGGTATTGTCTCAACAAATAAGCAGTTCTTCGAGAATTTATATAATAGAAGATCAAATAGCAATTCCTAGTTAATGAAGTTAACCAAAATAAGTCCAAGAACCCCGCATTAGTTTAGATTGGAAGCAGCAGCTTGCCTGCATGAAACCAGAATTGCTAGTAATGATGAGTCAGCTATACATTCTCGTCAATTTCTCAACAATCTTAACAACTTTCTTAGCTGTTCAACTTGTTAGGATTTTAAATTGATTATAAGATTGTTTTGAGCAGGAACTGCCTACATTACCAAAGATCAGTTGCAGCCAGTTTGGTTCAAGGTGCATATGTTCTAGAACGCGATAGACAACAAAACCGTCAAGGTTCAGAAGCTCGTGCGCCTCCTTGGTGGGAAAGCTTCCATTTTGAAGTAATCCGTAAACTAATTGATGATTCTGATTTCTCCATCTTTGGTGCCATTTATGAATATAGACCTCCTGTAGGCTTCCAAAATTCTACAGTTAATAAAGCTCCAAGATTTGTGATAGTCTTTCGAGGTACCATCACAAAGAAAGAATCTGTTTCTCGGGATGTTAAACTGGACTTACATCTTCTCAGAAATGGCCTCCATCAGACATCTCGGTTTGAAATAGCAATGCAGGCTGTTCGTGCCCTAGTTTCAGCTTTTGGACATCAAAATGTATGGATCGCCGGTCATTCTCTGGGGGCAGCCATGGTGACACTTGCTGGGAAAATTATGGCTAAGGAGAGTATGAATCTCAAGGCTTTTCTCTTTAATCCACCATTTTTCTCAGCACCAATTGAGAGGATAAAAGATAAGAAGGTTAAGCAGGGAATTCGCATCGCAAGCAGCTTTATAACTGCTGGACTCACTTTGGCCGTGAAAGGCCCCGGTCACAAGTCAGACTCATTTACAAAGTTGTCATCATGGGTTCCGTATCTTTTTGTAAACCAGGCTGATGACGTCTGCTCATCTTATGTTGGTTATTTTGATCATCGCAAAAAGATGGAGGAAATTGGAGCAGGAAATATTGGGAAGTTGGCAACACAGAACTCTGTCAAAGATCTGTTTTTAAGTGCTTTTGGAGTGGAGTCAGAGTCATTGCACCTCCTTCCATCAGCAAATCTGACTGTAAATTCAAGTCCGGCTCCAGACTTCAAGCATGCACATGGTATACACCAATGGTGGAGGCCAGATATTGATCTGCAATCAAAAGTGTACCTTTATGACTGATATAGAAGGGGAAGCATGCATTATAATCGATGAAGCAGTGCACTTCATCTTTCTCAGTGGTAGGGAATATGTGGTGTGATGGGCTAGCAGATCTTCTCAGGCGTTTGATGCTTTAGTGAACAATAATAATACGGTTAACATGGAAGTGATGAATTCTTCCATACTCCCATCGTAATTGTTGTGGGAGGTTGTATGGGCCAAGAAGGTGTTTTCTGAATGAGACTATGAACCTAAGTTGCTCCTCATCACTCCGGCTTTCATGTCTTTCTCTGTTTGAAGATTGTACTATGTTACAATTGGTGTCGATGGCATGGAGTGATGCAATCAAGATGCACGATCGTGATGTTTTTTAGATGTTGTTTTTAAATGTTTTCGTGTGTTTTCTGATAGACAGCTTGTATGGGGTATAAAGATACTATCAATAGCAATCTCTTCTTTGCCAGCAGTGTTTTTACTTTTTGTTTTTGTTCTGTAAAAGTCAAAAACATTTTTGGCTGTGGTGGATTCACATGAAGGGCAACATAGCTAAAACAACATTGTTTTTGTGTGTCATATATTGATTTCTGATCGATGATATATCTCAGGTGGCATCAAGATCAATGGGGTTCTCAAGTACTAGATGAATATTGTTGATGCACTTACCTTTCCAGTTCGGCCACGTAAGGGTTTGCGAAGGATGATTGCAAATAGATGTCGAGATGGTTGCTAGTACCAAACTCCTCAAACTTCTGTTATCCTTCCACTGATGCTCACCAGGTGTTCGATCGGAAGCCTGAGTGAAACCATTATTTCAACGACTGCAGAGCGATAGAATGCATAACGATTAATTGAAGTGAAACAAACATTATGGACCCAATTTGAAGAACAGATACCCGCAGCAACTTCAGAAGATTAAGAAAGTTTAATTCAGAAATCCAAGAATGACAAAATCGAGGTGGGCAGTTCATAGCAATTAACGAAGGCCCTGGACATCATCAGTAATAACTTTGACGACTCATGGCTCACGCATACATAACATCAGAAAAGTAAAACAAAAAAACTGGATGCATCAATTATTGTACTGAATTCTCACGATCCATGAATCAGAAACTGACTGAGAATAAGAATAGTGGAGATGTACTGATGGGAGCGACGTTCATCCCTCTTACTTCCCACCAAGAGTAGGGAACTGCCCAGGATCCTCGATTGATGGAGCAGCAGCTGGGAAAGTTGAAACCCCACCACCAAAACCACCTCCGTATTGTCCACGGCCACCTCGTCCCCTCCCACGACCACGGCCACCTGGACTATAGTATCGCTCTCCTTCAGCCGGCTTCAGAAACTCAGTGATGCGCATGGACTACCAAGGAAGAAGTATCATCAGACTAAAAAAAAAAAGCTCAAGGCTACTATATTCAATCTGATAAGTAACTATATACCTTTTTGCTCCTTTCATCCCGATCAGCATTTTCTTTCTTTTTTCCTGTGTCCTTATCCGAACCCTATGAGATCAATGTTGTATCAAAAGAGATGCATATATGATTTATAAAGAAATATGTAAAAAGCCATGGGGCATTACCAACTTAACAAAAACATCATCATTTCCTTTCTTCACCGAGAGTTGCTTCATGGACTGCAATTCCTCATCAATTTCAACCTTCCTTTCTTCATTCTTCAGTGCAAGTAAGGCTTTCCTTTTCTCCTCCCTCAGTTTCTCATACTCCTCCAGTGTCATCTCCTACTCAATTGAGACAAAATATATCATCGTATTTGGTAGAAGCGAAAAAAAAAAACAAAGATATCAAGAAAACCACCAGGTTGACTGAAATTCTAACATAGATTGTGCCTCACAAAATTCAAACCAAGTGGTCAGAAGAAAATGAAAAAGCCGAGGAAGGGAGGTGGTAATTGTTTCAAATGATAATTACAAGATGTCATTTTTTCTTTCACATTAGATGCCTCCACAGAACATGGAAGACCTAAAATATGTCCTTGTGAAAAGCAAGGTATAAGCTACCTCCAGTGAGCTGGTGCACCAACCATTTACAAGCTTGATGAGGTTATATAGTAGCAGGTTTATCCTACAAGGTGTTGAAACCACTTCAGATACTCCACCGTAGGATTTCCTTCAGTAAATTAGAAAGCCTGCTCTTATTTGTATCTGCAAAGAAACCTGCTCCTATAGTACTGAAAATTGATGACATAAAGTATCAAATGCTAATGTAATTAATTGAAATTTTGCTATTAGATTAAGGTCTTCCATGAAGTATGTGATCTCCCAAAAAGAGACTCCTACATCTAGACTCGTACTAAACAAAAGTAGGTGATCTCCCAAAAGAAAAGCCAATTAAAATACCCATGTTTCGTCTAATATCCTTTGTTTTAAAAAAATGTTTAAGAAAATATGTGGATTTATCCAAGCAAGATATAGCACCAAATTAATAAAAAGATCCATTCTTGAAAACTAAATTTGCAGACAAAAAAGTAACTAGATATTCAAACCATCACACATCAATCTGTGGTGCAAAAATAACATTCGGAAGAACTCTACAGAGTACATCTCAAGTGCATGAGCATGTACTCCACATATGAGCAAGTATGTTTAGATTCAAATACAAGTGATGAAAAATTAGTTCAATTATTGAAGTAGATTAAGCTAACCTATTCAGCATAAACAACAAACATCTCAGATCTGAAACTTCTTCAATTATATCCATTCAAGAAAGGTACTGCACACTAGCATTTTAGAAGCTTCATGTGGAGCACAAAGTGAAAATTAATCTTAATAATGAAAATCCACCCTAGTGAAGACAAACACTTCCAGGAACAGATAAATAGCATACAGTACTAAACAAAAAGTACAAATTAAATCCAAAGAACAATAACATCCTCTATTCACCATATAAAAACTATGTAAGAATTTATCATTTTAGGCCGATGCATAAAAAACAGTGTTCTATTTTCTAGATTACCTAATGACAGCTGACATATATACAGAAGGCACATTTATACAGGTTCAACCAGCTTAAACATCCCTTGCCTGTGCAGAATGTCAGTGCAAACAATTATTAAAAGCAAGGAAATCTGTGATTAGTAGAATTAGACATCAAGATGTCATCCATTATACTAATATATTTGACAAAATTTGTTATCAAGCATTCATGTAGGATTAAATTTGAAGAAAAAAATCAGTAAGGCAGCAACAAAACACATGTTCTGCACCAAATCAGAGTATACTCAAATAGTTATTCTTTTGTACAGAAGCACTCACCTTATCCTCTTCCTTCTCTTCTGTCTCATTTGTTGCACCCTCCTTGTTGTCTTTATTCACTTCAGATGATGGCACTCCATCCAGCTCCACCTGCTTCTCAGTTGCAACAGTTTTATCATCGGTGTTAAGAGTCTCCTCCTTCTCCCTATCACATAAACAGCTTCACAATTAGAATATGACATAAAAAGGCTCCCCTTAAATATATACTAAAAATGAAGAATCAACTCTTAACTGTGCAACAGTCTCATCAGTGGCACTTCCCCAATTCCCGCGGCCTGCACCATTGCGTTTCGTCTCATACCCACGGCCTGTACCACTCCGCCGTTCATAGATCCTCCGTGGGGGCCGTTCAGAGTCCCCTCCAGCCTCCCCATTACCGTATCCACCACGTCCCCCATAGCCACCACCACGACCTCCACTGAATGGCTGTCGGGGTGCTCGTTCCCTCTCCCTAGCAGAGTCTGCATCTTCACCTCCTCCAGCACCATCGGCAACGTCATAACCCCGTGATGCTCCACCGACACTCCCATTTACAAAATCACGATTTTGACCCATCCCACCCCCTCGTCCACCCCTACCACGCGCAAACCCACCACGGAGAGCGCCACCACGAACTGCTCCAGTGTTATTCCTCACTTCCCTTGCCTCCCTCACTGCAAGACCAAATAAGCTCCAATCAAACAGCACCAAAGCAAGGGGAAAGAAGAAATCTTTCTAACAGAGCTAACGGAAATCGCTACAAAAAACCACAATACGTTTTCCCATACTACACTCAAGAATCAAACCAACTCGACGGGACCGACCGGTTTGTGCGGGAGGAAGAGGCTTGGTGGGAAGCTTCGCCGGCGCTCGGGCAGCAGCGGCGGCGGCGGGAGGCGCAGCGGCCTTCATCGAGGCGATTTTCTGCTGCTGGGATGCGAGGAGCTGTGAAAAATCCTCGCTGTCGTCATCGCCGAGGAGATCGAAGGGGTTGACGGTGGCCATCAGTGCCAAGCGAAGCCTCACGCGCGGGGAACGGACTGTCTCGAGAGAACCTAGAACTAAAAGAACGCCAACGCCGGCGGGACGATCTCCATGGAACCCTAGATTTGCGGCGGTACCCCTCGATGGGGGGCGGCAAAGATAGGGTTTCGGAGTGCGCGAGAGGGAGAAAGAGAGAGATGCAGGCGAGCAAAAACCCTAGCCGCAACACGACTCCGAAGTCCGACCAAATAGCCCTCAACTCTCCCCCTCGGATTTGCTTATGAATCAGTTGCAGAATCCAAAATGACATAAATACTCACAGTTCTCCGCCATTTCTTTCATTTATGAGATGATAAAGAATGGGTGTTTTGGTCAACTGGACGGCTTCGTACCCACGGTCGTGGCGTATCTCTTGAGAAAAGCTCGCGTCACTGTGGGGGAAATCAGAACCGTCAAATTAAGATCATGCGGGCAAGATTATTTTGCCCGAGGTGGATTTTTATTTAGGCTGTATAACCATCCGTTTGTGATCAATATTATTCTTTGTGAAAAGAAGAACGATTCAAAAAGGGTAGGATTTACTTTATAGGCATTGAAATTAAGAGATTTATAACGATTCAACATAAAGATCATGAAAACCGATTATCTTACTATACTTATTTTGATATTTACTTATATTAATTTTATATCACACTTGTATCATTAATCAATTAATTATGATAAAAAAAATTAAATAAGCTTACACTAATTTATCCAATCTTAGTATCATCAAATATTTTAAGACTGCATATGGATTTGAGAATTTAGACCGGTCCACGTTATCCAAATCTAGAGATGAGATCGATGTATCGATGTAATCAAGTTAATCTATAGTATTGGTATTAGTTATACGCGGCTTACAAGCCGATCACGTGAGTGATAGTACATATGACATGCTACGATAATCTCTTTATTTATTATTGTTGGTATTTTATCATATATTATCTAAATGTATATTATGATGTCATTGGATCTATGCAATGGGAATCAGATTGTAATTAAATCATTATAATGAGATCGATTTGTCTTTAAACATATATCTTAAATCATTTCGATCATATGTTACTCGAGAAAGACATCGGGATAATCGGATAGATCGATGTATTATATACTCGTGTCGCTGTGGGAGAAATCAGAACCGTCAAATTAAGATCATGCGAGCAAGATTATTTTACCCACCTTATGAGGTGGATTTTTATTTAGATTGTATAACCATCGGTTATAGCACTCGGGACACCTGAGTTTACTATAAATTCCTCTCTCAAGTAATCAATATTATTCTTTGTGAAGAGAGGAACGATTCAAAGTGTAGGATTTACTTTTTAAGCATTGAAATTAAGAGATATATAACGATAGTTGATTATCACTCATTTATGGTCGAGATAGTGAAACCGATTATCTCGAGGGATTAAGAGTTAAGAAAATTGAATTACTATAAAGACTTGATCTCGTTTATACTTATTTTGATATTTACTTATATTAATTTTATATATCATTAATTAATTTATGATAAAAAAATTAATTATATTATATTAATTTTATATATCATTAATTAATTATGATAAAAAAAATTTAAATATGCTTACACTAATTTACCCTATCTTAATATCATTATCTATCCTAACAAATATTTTAAGACTGTATATAGTTTTAAGAATTTAGATTAATCCACATAATCTAAATCATCAGGAGATCGATACATCGATCTAACCAGGTTATTTCATAGATTGTTCTTGATGCATCCAAGTTGAGTCGATAAGTAACTATTATCGATACAAAAATTTATTTACATGTAATATATCCGTATAAGCATTAAAGTGATGAAAGTAAATAACTATTATCGATATAAGAATCTCTTTAAGCATAAGCATTAAAATGACTAATGCACATCAACCTTAAAAATTATCTTTTTACATAATTTTAAGATATAAGAATTAAAACGTTTAATGCATAAAAATATTAAAACGTTCAATGCATCATAATCAAATAAAATATCTCCTCATATACGATGCACCCTCCCAAAATATAAATTAATCATGCAAAATATATTCTTATGCATGTTGAATCTACCCAAAATAATCAAAGTGTATGATGCATCTTAACCAAATAATTAATTTTCCTTGTAATTCTCTTCCCATTAGCAACCAACCACCATTTCATGTTTGTTGATGGCGTTGGGATCCGTGAGGTGAACATGAAATCTTTCTCATATTGTTTCCCCGATGAACTTTGTTGAATACTTCATCTTTCTTTTGTTACCGAAGTAGAGAACAAACCTTAATTCTATGATCAAATGGTGTCTTCCAAAATAAAAAGAGTTGAGATTAATTACAAAAAGGAATGCCTTAGTCCTTTTTGCCATCAAACCATATTACGAAGTGGGTGAAGTTGTATTTTGTTGAGATCTATGTAAGGCATTCGATTCACCTCGAATCCTTATGTATGCCACACGTAGTTATGTTATTATACACGATAGCTATTAGACCCAATAAAGAATAAGAATAATATGAACTTAAAGGATTGATCGACGTGTCGATTGATTGATGTCTCATGGATTAATCGATGTGTTGAATGATTGATTACTCTATCAATCGATTCACATGATGATCAATTGATAAACTAGAAAATCGATCGATAAACCATACGATTGGTCATCGTCAAAGTTAATCAAACCTAGATCAAGTTGTGACTAGACTAAAAATATAACTAACACAAGTGCAAGCTATAGTGGGTGGATGAGTCTATGAGATAGATTAGGCTCTTGTTGGGTTTAACATGCCAATGGGTAATGGCATGACTTAACACTATCTGTTAGGTCTACCAACAATATAGGCTAGTAATATTTTAGTATTATTTTAACAATTGAACGATAATATTGATTAGAGTGGCATTGGTACAATTATTATCCTTAATTTTAGATTTTTTTTATCATTTACCCTATATTTTGTGGTGACTAGTGCTTTTATGTTAGTTAGTTGAAATAATAATTTAAAATTATTTTTAAACTTAAGTATAAAGTTTATCAGATAAGAAATTCTCTTTTTGAGTTATTAGTATTATTATTTACGAAGGAAAAAAAATTATTCAAAAAATAAGATAAGTATAATAATAGTTGATCTTCGCCCATTAAAAATAGAGTGATGAAGGTCGATGAATCATTATAAAGGCTTAGCATCTATTACTTGTGTTCTTACTCATTATAATATTTATTTATATTGTTTTTTTATCACTATTACATCATTAATTAATTAATTAGTTGTGAATGAAAAATTTATCAAACAAGCTTGCATCAATATGGTTTTGAGAATTGGTTTACACGTATGATGTAAACCAATATACATGATATTCCATCTAAGTAATTAACATGATGTCAAGGGCATAAGAATTAACATGTCCAATGCATCATAATCGAACAAGATATCTCCATATACATGATATGTTTATCTATGACATAAATATCATGATTCTCGATTTGTCATAAATATACAAATCTTTTCTCATGCAAAGATGCATCCGATCATATTTTAAATAATAAAGCATTCAATGCATCATAATTAATTATGCAAAATATATTCTTATGCACAATCACAATGTGCGATGCATCTTAATTTTTATAATCACGTTGCTAAGTTAGATTATCATATGTATGTATGTATGTATGTATGTATATATATACGGTATACTTTGATGATTTCTCCTGTACTTCGTATACGAAATAATCGATCGTATACATACAAATAAATATACAGCGTGTAACCGCACTGCTCCACGACCAATCGGTGAAACCGGTGAGCCCACGACCGCGGGGCCCAACCTTTCCTTCCTCGGTGACGCAAACCATGTCGCCACGTCTCCACGCGTCCACACATCGGCTCTCTCGCCGCCGATCTCGCCGCGGTATCCACGCCGCCTCCGAGCCGCGACTGCCGCCCCGCCGAGCGTGTGCGATGTGTGAGCGAGTTCGTACCGCGAGTGGCGTCTTTTGCGTCCTTCCCACTCACCGCCTTTGAAATGGAGCGGCGGCAGTTTCTCGACTCTTCTTTTATTTATTTCCGCTTCATTTTTCACTATAAATATACGCGTCGACGCGATTAAGGAAGTGGAAATTCGAAGCTATTGCATGCTTTGTAGCAGCCTCGATAGCGACTCTACTGCTTTGTACTGTTGCGGAGCGACAGGGGCGGCGAAGAAGGAAGCGTGTTCATGGTGCCAGGCCAGGGAACCTACGCCGGTCCGACGGCCTACGTGGCCCCCTGGTCCTATTCCGACAACTCGATGGCCGCCATACAACATTATCCCGTTCTCCCCGTGAGCGGCGTCGCCGGGCTCTCCGCCGACCTCCCACCCCACCTCCTCGGCGAGGTGGGGTTCGCCGCTTTTCAGCGTTTCCTCCCCCGCAACGACGGCTCTTCCTCCTCCGCGGCGGACCCCACGGCGGCCGACGCGTACGCCTGCGACGAGTTCCGCATGTACGAGTTCAAGGTGCGGCGGTGCCCTCGCGGGCGGTCGCACGACTGGACCGAGTGCCCCTACGCCCACCCGGGCGAGAAGGCGAGGCGCCGCGACCCCCGTCGGTTCCACTACTCTGGTTCCCTGTGTCCGGACTTCCGCCGCGGCGGGGGGTGCCGCCGCGGCGAGTCCTGCGATCTCGCCCACGGCGTGTTCGAGACCTGGCTCCACCCGGCGCGCTACCGGACGCAGCCCTGCAAGGACGGCGCCGCCTGCCGCCGCCGCGTCTGCTTCTTCGCGCACTCCCCCGAGCAGCTCCGCCTCGTCCTGCCCCCGAGCCCGATCTCGCCGAGCGAGGGCGGCGCGAGAGTGTCCTCGTCCCCGACGTCCACGCTGGCGCTGGCGCCCATGTCGCCGCCGTCCGATGGCTCCTCTCCGCCGGTGTCGCCGGTGGCGTTGGACGAGGTGATCCAATCGATGAGCAACCTTCAGCTGAGCAAGGTGAGGTCCAGGCCCCCGTTCGGGACGCGTAGTGGCGCGGCGGTCCTGGGGAGAGCTCCGCTTGCGGCAGAGGTGGCAGTGGGGGACGCTTGGGAGGCGGCGGCCGCGGCTGCAGCCTGGGGTTCGAGATCTAAGCTACTCGAATGGTGGAAGAGGCAGGAGGAGGAGGAGGAAGCAGCGGAGGCGGTGCCGGATTTAGGATGGGTTACAGAATTGGTGAACGATTAAAGGAGTCATCTTTGGCCATTTTTTTCGATGTTTGTTCATAAATAAAGAAGGAAAATGTTGCCAAAGATCAAATATGGTGAAAAAAAGACATTTTTTTGGGTGTAAAAGCAGTATGCCAAAGCGAATTAGTAGCCAATTCCCCTTTTCTTTCATGTGAAGAATCGAAACTCTTAGTGTTACCATCGAAAGAATTTGTGTGATGCTTCTACCATCCACCATGTCTATTTTACCTGTGCTATTATCTGAGTTGGATCTCAGTACAAGATGTCAACCCTTTTGTCATTCGCCGAACAACCTGTACTCGCAGCCTCTACACTGCAATGGTTTCTGATCTTTTCTCAATCCGCTAAATGAAGCAGAGAGAATATATGTCCGGTAAGCATGTAAGAGAAAGCCGTGTGTTGGGGTTCGGACAGTGCATGGGCCATGCATGGTTGCTTTCTGAGCAGAACAATTATTAGAACGTCCACGACCTGAATGGGGCAGACAACCTGAAAGCCTAAGAAAAAGAAGATGAATGAAACGACGCATCCTGAGATGCTGGTCCATCCTAGTTCTTGATTGACAAGACCTTTGGTATCACATACCTCGTCACTTTTTGTTGCGCTAATGAATAAAGTATGTGTGTGGCGTCGCCGACTGAAAAGTCTGGTGCTTGTGGTTTCTGCTGTTTTATTTACAGCCACTGTAAACCTGAGACGAAGATGAACAAGCCATGTTGTTGCAGAAATGTAGTTTCCGATACTTTAAAGGTATATGAAATTATGAGACATGCAACAATAATGAAGATTAGGCAGACAGGTAGTCCGGCGTCTTCCTCGAGAGCACGTAAAATGATAGGATGCACTTGAGCTGATACTAAGAAACCGGGAGTGAGATTCTCCGTCACTGGATTCTCAGAATCTAAGACAAATCCTGATTCTCCACTGTAAACAAATCTAGATCTCGTGTCCGGAAAAGCCGCTCACGTCGCACCTGTTCTTGACTTATTATTCTTTGTGTTCGAGCCTTCTTGTTCTCATCAACCGTCAGGTTAACGGGCGTTAACCTCCTCCCCAAGAAACATGATATGATGAGCTCGTTGAGATCTACTGATGGTGCTAACCAGTACAAAGACTCGAGGTGGGAAGAACATGAAGGACGTGCGTGCAGTGCGCGGCAAGTCTTCGACGAGAGAAGTGGGATGGCATGAAGCGAATGTCGCTGAAAGGGACAATGAAAGCTTTGCTTCTTCGTAAGTTTCGTTTAGGGCAGCAATAATTGAAGCAGAGCAGATCAGGGATGCAGTGGAGTGGGCGTACGATGAGGCTGTCTTTCCACAAAGCGACCGACCATGGTTTCTCGGTGGAGGTTCCTGTGTGTGTAGAAGAAGACCCACCCCGAGGGCCATGGTGCAAGTTGCGCTGCTCCTCTCATCTGCTTCCGTCTCACGTCCAGATCCTGAAGTGGATCCTGCTCTCTCTCCTGACAGAAATCCAACCAGAGTTGGGCACCGCATGGAAATCTGATCAAACTGTAGATTACAGACACAAGAAAATATTGGTTTTCTGTGATCCAATCTCATGAGGTCTGACATGCATTAACACAGACAGCACTGATTAGATGAGCATCGGGCCATGGAAATGAGATCGTATATGTTGGTCTTCCTCGGACCGCATATTATGCAATTAACTGGTCCATTAGAACGCATGCCCACAACAAAACATAAGAACATATGATGTCTAATATCTCAGGGAAGCATCCAAAACTGTGTATACCAACTCCAACATAGATTCAAATCACAGATGACCGAGAGCGAAGGGATACGGCCACCTGATGCACCTGCATTCGCTGAGTCAGCAACCTTTGGATGATCCATTAGCCTGACACTGATGTTTTGATTCTACCATCGCCCATGGTTTGCTTATTATACACATTTAAAATAGTGTATAATAGTGTTGAAAGCACATTCAAAGTAGCAACAGAAAGAAAAGTACATTCAAAGAACTTAACAATGGATTGTGAAAGAGAACGAGGAGAAGAAATCTTTGGAGCCATGAGGATAATTCATAGGAAACAGATACAACTTACATAGTAGAATGCTGAATAGCAGTGTGCAAAAAGCATATATATAAATGGTAGACATACTTGAACACAAAGCCATGCATGGCAAGCAAGACAGTCAACTGGATCCAGCGAAGTAACTTTAGCGCAACAAAGTAAAGAAGAATCTCCAAGAATCAAGTAACCATCAAAACTTCTTCTTCTTTGATTGTTGTTATACATGTAGATCATCTGATTATTGTTGGATGGAAATCAATACAGGAGAAGATAATGGAGAAGAAGAAGATGTGTCCTTCCACAGGCCCATAAATTAAAATTCAGTGCAGTTTTCAAGGCACAGTTGAGACCTTAAATCATTATTTAAAGAATGCATTCAATAGGTACCAGGTAGGTAGGTGATATATATATATCTAGAGAGAGAGAGAGAGAGAGAGAGAGACTTGGATATAGCAACTATACATATTTGTACATGTTGCTGTTACCTTGACATGTTAACTAACCATAGCAAAGGATTTCAATCTCCTTGTGGCACAGACAAATCTTATTCCAAGTTGGACAAGCATAAGGATGAAGGATCACTAATAAGAAACTTCATCAAGTTGAGCTTAACATAGTGGACTTATTATGGTTCATTCTTGTGTATGAGACATTTGGGCACCTGATACTATTAAGTTTGGATATAGGATTCACTTGGAGACCTAACGTGACAGAATGACTTGTGTACTTTCAATAGCTTCAATAGCAGACATTTGTTTTGTGTACTTGATGTTGTACCTTGAAAGTTGTTTTGAAGTATTGCAATGCCAAGCATGGTAGCCAAGGAACAGCTTATAGAAGAGATCGAATGAAGAAGAGAAGAGGAGTCGTAGAAGAAGAGAGTGGTGAAAGCAAATAAGAAAAGTTGGATGGGGTCTCCTCACAAGGTGGCAAAGCTAGATTTATGATGTGCAAAGCAGGGAGAGATTGGTCGATCCATAAACTGGACCACTTCCCACCGAACATATCATCCGCAATAGGTATAGTCAATCCATCCAGCATTTATGTTGTTGTTGACACACAACCGACCATCAAGAAGAAGCTTCCCATCTCCATCTCGAGTCAATTCCATGAACTAATAGACAAAAGATCTTCCCTGCTTGGCTTCCTGTGAAACATACTGCAGAACAGCTGCATATGGATGCGCATGTCATTGATGGTAATTAACCATGACATATACACCATCTGTTCTATCAGGTTGTGATGGCAAGCATTCAAGCAAAAAAGAAAAAGGAAGTCTCCAATTTGTGGTGTCCAAACTTCAATTCATTTTTATGAGGGGGAGGAAAACTGAGTCAACTTAGCAATCCAGAATATGGCTCTGAAATCTTGTGAGATCCGAGGAGTGCATTGCGTGTTGCTTTTAGTGGGCACTGACAAAGATGTATAGGACTTTTCATAGAGGAGTAAATGGTAGGCATCGACAACAAGAAGATCATATACTTTGAAGAGATGTGGCCAAGTCATCGCCCTCAACAAACAAAAGTCTTGGAGTTCCTCGTCCTGGCATCACCATCATCGTCATCTTCTGTCTTTCTTCCTTCCGTCCTTTTCCCTTGTCTTGCTCATTCTCAGGTCCACACCTCAAAAGGAACGAGGTGTGCATGATGAGCGGACCCGCTCAAGCTCCCACACCGCCAGCGACTTTGAAAGATCAAGGCTCATGTGCTCATGCTTTTGATCAGTTCGGCTAACGGGGTTGACGCGTTCAGAACACCTCTTCTTACCGGATGTAATTTGGAATTAACTCTTCCAAGAACGAAAGCAGCCAATCTCTGAATGGTCGCCTTTTTGATCCGTACATAGCTATAAATTCTCTCTTGTATGCGCGTTGGCGTGGTTGAGCAACTCACCGCGTGGCCTCACCATCGAGCTCATCAACATCGCTCTCTCGGGACTGCTAGGTCTAGGGGTTCACGGACCGGTGAGTCGTCGTAGCTGATGGGAACGAAGAGGACACTGAGCTGGACACAACCACTACAGGTCTGAGATCAAAGAGAGAAGCACAGGATTCGCCCGGGCTCACATGGACCAGTTCCAGGATGAAGAAAGTAGCATGCACGCATGTCACCAAAGTCTAACCACGTTTGTTTTCGTCGAGTGTTTGTAATCAAGATTGGAGTTGTTAGAGTTATCTCAACGATAGTAATCATTTACACCGTGGCTGAGGGGTCAGCATGACTTGGTTTTATCTCGAGTACGCAAGATCATTCATGTTGGTATTCGGGCGACAGGAGTCGTCATCCGATGGGGTTGGGCTTGGGCTTTGGCTTCAAGATCTGGAGACTCCCCATTTGGCTGACCGTCCTCCTCTCTATTGTTTATCCCTGCACATAGGTCGAGGTCGGGAAGGGGACTCCCGACTTCGACCCCTCCAAAGATTTAGTTAGAACTTGGTGGAAAATTGGCCAAGAACCGATCCCCTTCGTCGGCCTCGCAATGTGTTTTTATCCTTTAGCTCGAGGATCGGTCGTACCTATCATATTTATAGTTGTCGATCCATCGGGCAGTGGGCTTACACCTGGAGCATATGTTGGGTGTCCTCAGTGCCATGGCGTCGTACTCGATGCCATCCCGACTTTTACGGGATGTCGCTGTACTCGATCGGCGTCGTCCCAACCTTTGTGGGACAGCACTGTACTTGGTTGGTATCGTCTCGACCTTTGCGAGACGGAGTTGTGCTCGGGCGACATCGTCCCGACTTTTACAGGACGGCGCCGCACTCGATCGGCGTCGTCCCGATCTTTGCAGGATGGCGTTGTACTTGGTTGGTGCCATCCCGACTTTTGTGGGTTGGCAATGTACTTGGTCGATGCCATCCGACCTTTGCGGAACGACGTTGACCGGGGGGCGTGGTATGTTATGTTGACCTTGACGTTCATGTGACCGTAAACAATGGTAAGAGGGAAGGTTATCAAAATGTGCCCTGGTAGTAAGATCATCATCAACGGTCCAGATATCTCCAAAGAAAACCCTGACTTGGTTTAGTCTTTGACTCCTAGCATGGGGAGCAAGATAAAAGGGAAAGAACAGGAAGCAGTCTGAGGTTTTATCTCTCTATATATACACAAGGAAGCCATATGGAAGGACTGGATCAAGCCTGCCATCCTTCCCTTTGCGTCTCCAAAAGGCTTCAAAGAAAACTCAGGACCCCATAATTTGTCTGCTCCCCTCCCTGCTTCTTTCTTCTTGTGCGAGCTGGTGGTTTCTTGAGGGCAGCTCCTTTTGGTCGCCGGTGGTTTTGCTTGAGGATGGGGAGAGCGCCGTGCTGCGACAAGGCCACCGTGAAAAGAGGGCCGTGGTCTCCGGAGGAAGATGCAGTCCTCAGAAGCCACATCGAGGAGTACGGGACTGGCGGCAATTGGATTACTTTGCCCAAGAAAGCAGGTCATTTTCCCTTCAATCTTGTCGAGCAGTTACTTCGTTTCCCTTCAATATTCTCCTCTGCATCTTATCTATATATTTCAAGACGATGAGACATCTGAATGCATGTTATGAGCTTTCCTCCGAGCAACAGAGCTGAGGATCTGCATCGTGCAATGAAAATTAAGGCTATCTTTGAATCTCCGTGCAATCTCACTTCACTTGATTGCGTGGCTGGTTTCAGGTCTCAACCGCTGCGGCAAGAGCTGCCGCTTGAGATGGCTCAATTACCTCAGGCCAGACATTAAGCACGGTGGCTTCACAGAGGAGGAAGACAACATCATCTGCAGTCTTTATAGGAAACTCGGGAGCAGGTAATGATTCTCTTTCAGTGGTTTCCGCAACTCCAATGATGTCTGTAGTGAGTCCCCGAGATCTCTTGTTTAGGTGGTCTGTCATTGCTTCCCACCTACGCGGAAGAACTGACAATGATGTGAAGAATTACTGGAACACCAAGCTTAAGAAGAAGCTGATGACACCTACCATCATCACCTCTAATATCCCGTCACCGACTCCAGCTTCACTGCTACCTACTGTCAAAGCTGAGCCTTACAACAACCCTAGCGACATCTCCAGATCCGTCGACTCCATCTTCGCGCTCACACAGGACTCGCACGAGTTCTACTCGGAGCCTTCACCGTTGCCGAGAGAATGCAGAGCTAAAGAGACCGGGCAACTTCATCGACATTCACCGTCTGAAGAAGTGTCGGCAACTTCATCGACATTCACGGTCGACGACGGCAGCAGAAACAGCTACGGGAATTGGTCTGCGAGCGGGGCTGGTCCCCACGACTTGTTCCTCTCGGAGCTCGACATCGAGTATCTCACCGACCTTCTTGGCGACGATGGATGCCAGGCGGAGGTGCCACAGGGGCTGCACCGAAGTGTCGCCTACTGGTAGCGAAAGGTATAGTGTAGGAGTGATGATTACATGGCAGTTCATAGTTGGGATTTCTTCCCCTTCTCCGTAGCCTTGAAATCCGTCAGTAGGGATGAAATGTCAGGACTTGAGATGCAGTATAATTGAGATCGATCTTGGCCATTAGACTGTGTGCCATGGAAACTGGCAATGAAATGTACATGAGTGTGGGTGTTGTCAGCAAGACTGGACGGTTTCAACTCTTGTTTCAGTGCTCAGAGGTCATGAAACTTGCATGGCCGGGCCGGGCGAGAGCTGAGGCAAAAGAAAGAGAAAACACACCGGTGGCCTGCCTATCAGAATCGGCAGTTTATGGTCCGAGGAAGCAAAACCGAAATGAGAATCAATAGTTCCGATCCAAATAGTCAAATTTTTAATTAAAAATTATAAATAAAATATAAATTCATTTTAAATAAATAAAAAAAATTAAAAAATTTAAAAAAAATATAAAATTACCCATATAAAATTATAATAATATTAAATAATGATGATCGATACTGCGATAAGAGATTTTAATCTCTTGCACCCATGATAAGTTGTTTTCCTTTTATTTAGACAAAAAGTTAACTCGTGAAGTTTAAGAACCAGCCGCTATAGCGATCGATTAATCATCCTAAATGAGTCTTCTTGTATGGATCCAAGGTGCAATCTAATCATCATCCAAAATGAGGTTGCAATCTGAACCTCATTGTCTTATGATGCATTGATAGTTCAACAGAGCTTTTGGAGGAGTCTCAACATTGAAGCAAATGGTAAAACACAGTGGGATTGATAAATGAATACATGACTACTAAGATTTTTAGTGACAGTATAGAAATAAGTTTGAACTTAAGGAGATACAACAAACTACAAAGCCATACTAACTAAAAGAAAGCTTCTGGGAAGTGCAGAGATCCAAGATACAGAATACTCAGGTGGCATTATCTTGCGGCTGGAGAAAACCCCACGAGGTATTGTATTTCATTTGTACTAGTCTGACTTATTCCAGTATTTTCTGCATCCAAGTTCTTGCCGCTCATAGATGGGAGCTCAGATGTCTCACGAGCGAGCTCGAGTGCCAAGCCCTCCTTAAGATCCATCAAAACATCAGTCATTGTCGGCCTTTGTTGGGAGGTTCGTGATGTGCATTTAAATGCTATATCAGCAGTTTTCCAGATGGAATTCACTTCATATAGACTCTGCAGGTTTGCATCAACAATGTCCTCGATATTCCCTGTCGCGAGTCTTTGGTGCACCCATTGAACTAAACTAGCATTATGTTGAGGATGTTTTAGAATAGGAGGTTGGCCAGTGATGAGCTCCAATAGAACCACCCCAAAGCTATAGACATCGCTCTTCTCGCTGAGTTGGTAGGTGAAATAGTACCTGAACAAGTGCAAAACCATACCAGATTAGCTTCTTGTTTCTCATAAGATATTTTGTGAAAGTTGATTCTCTACAGATCATATAGAATCTGAATGAAACAATGTGGCAGAACATTAACACAGTTCGAGAATGATAGTAGTTCAACATTATGATCCGTAGATCTGGACAGACCAGTAATATTTAGCAGTGTAGGATTTCCACAATAACCTTGGATATTGCTGGGCATACCAAATTGAAAAATGATTTCCAGCATATCACTCCAGCAGCCTTATATTGATATCAATTGTCATTTTCCAGTTGCATGATATTCGAAATTGACATTGGCCAGCAGCTAGGACAGTGATAAAAGCAACAAAAGTGGAAGTAGGAGTTGTAATTTTCAAAGATGGGAATTCAAATCTCTAGTTGTATACTCTTCGGATAATTTTCTCTTCTTTCTAATCCATATATGCTGTAAGATGTTAATGCAGTTTAAGTCTTATAACTTCAGATGCATGTATGCAGATTTCTTTTTTTGTTCCCCATTTTACTTTCATGTTTTGGTGTCAAGTTTCAATATCTAAAACTCTCGAGATAAGGATATAGGTAGGGAACAATGAAAAAGACAAAAGGGGAACCCATGACGTACTCTGGATCAAGGTATCCTGGTGTGCCAACCACAGTTGTGGATACATGACTGTCGACATCATTCTGAAAAGCCCTGGACAAACCAAAATCTGCTATCTTGGCTTCTAGACTGTCACTCAACAGGATGTTTGTGGTCTTCACATCTCTATGGACTAGTGGCGGTCTGCAACCCTTATGCAGATATTCCAGGCCTGCACATCATTGAAATCCAAGATTGTACAATGGGGAGAAGAACAAGAAGACCTAGGAATGGGCTACTGACATAAGTACTGTGTATCGGTGCCAAACCTTGTGCAGCTTCTACTGCAATCTGAAGACGCTGTCCCCAAGTCAAAGTGGTGACACCGCTGGACTTACCTACAGAAGACAAATAAAACAGCCATGAATCAGTTCACAGAAAGCTCATTGATGAAACATGCACCACGTAGTGTTTTCTATGCAGGATCTCACTTCAACTTTCTATGTAATGAGGCCTTTCTTACTGCTCAGGTGATGAAAAAACAAAATTGGCGTAAAATGTGGAAAATGCTGTATTTGAATACAAATAGCAACAGCGTAGAGCTTCACCAGTATTTAAATGGACTAAATAGCAAACCAGTGAGCCAAAGCTCAAGAACACCTCTGGCCAGCATTGTAACATCCAATTTCCTTATTTTTCATGAAAGTGAAGTCACAGTTCCAAAGAATTAAGAAACTAAACAACTATTGTACCTTTAAAAATCAGAGCAGCACCTATTACAGATCATTCTAGTTTCAGGTTAGATAATGACTATAGGATGCATGGTACAATACCTCTAAGATGATCCTGTAAGGTTCCCAAAGACATGAATTCGTAGACCAGCGCCAGATGATCTCCATCCATGCAGTAACCAACCAAAGAAACAAGGTTCTTATGATGAATCCTTATTAAATTCTGGGCCTGTACTGAAAACAGAGTTGTTAGAAGCAGAATTTAGGAAAGTGCTATTCACAACATGATAGCAGGATGATAGATATAAAAAAGAACAGAGGAGTAATGTATTATATGCATCGATATCTTAAGAAAAGGAGGAGTATGATCAATTAAGTGTTATATTTACACCACCAACATATTCGGTGACATCATCTGCATAAATGGAAATCATTGCTACGTTTTGTTATCATTTTACAATATACTCGAGGATGCAAATCAAGGTCCAATAACCAACATGCTGTTAATTTATCTCCTTAAAAGAGTACTATTGCTAATCTGAAGGCATCTATTATATCACTCATCTAAGAATGGGTGAACTCATTACCTCAGCTAGAAACTCTTTAGTGCCTTGTGATGATGAATGAGAGCGCAGCTTGACTGCAACTTGAGTACCATCTTCTAAGCAACCATGGTAAACAGTACCAAATCCACCTTTTCCAATGTCATTTTTAAAGTTGTTGGTTATTTTCTCCAACTCCTCGTAAGTGAACTGTCGGTTCTCAAGTTGGAATGGGTTATCTCGATGTCCTCTTACTAATTTGGAGATTTTACCTGGTCCCACAGAGACACTTGTTGATCAGCCTTTCAAGTATAACATGGTACCATAGGTTGCAGGTCAAGGAGGGATCAAGCAGCTAATGCTTGTCCATTTTGTGTGAACCATTTTAATGGCATGAATGCAGAAAACAATAGTTGCTGCATGAAAAACATACCTGATGACTTTCTCAGTTTCCACACGAAGAATATGACCCCCAGAAGTAGTAGCAGAGCAATTAGACAAAGAATCACAACAACTACTGTTGAGATCTTCTTTGATGTACTTTTTCCAGGAGTTGCCTCACAAAAAGTTGCATTAATACAAAGATATCGATTGCCATCATATCTAGCATAAGTTTTGAAATATGACATTAGTATCTGTTTCAAAGTAATACATATTTATCCACATGATAGTTAGTATCCTAACCGAAAGTCGATTTTTTGAGTAAGCATAAACAAGAAACAGAACTCTCTGGATCCATAACCTTAACCTCAACCTCCCTTACACTTATCGCCCTTTTTCTTTTATGCACTGCAAACTTCTTTTTCAAATATCTCGTTTAAGAATATCAACACATTCATAGTTACTTTGTTTCAGAAGTGATTCAAACTGGATTTTCTTCCTTCCAAACAAAGTCTAACTAACTCTGCAAATAACTTTTATGTATGGGGCACAATTTTGGTACCAACAAAAAATTGAGGCTACAAAGTTAATGCACAAACACAAAGATGTTTTAGTATTACAAAAGGTTATTGTGAACAACTTGCAAGTTGAAGCAATAAGCACCTCGATCTTATGTTGATTTTACAATGAGATTAGGGACCAAACCTTAATTTTATAATTTCAAGCATAATTTAAATGCATCAATCAAACAAATAAACAAAAAAGGCTGTACTGGGTAAGCCGCTCGGCACTCTTTGACCCAAGTTCAGGAAGGTTTCATCACAAGAGGTGAAGACCTGCAATTTAACAGGTTCTCCTCTTTTTATTGGATTAGCCCAGGGCTTTCTTCATGGACTAGCATGGAAGAGTTTGATAAGTAAAAGGAGTTCAAACATTAAGAGAAACACTAGAGATAGACCAACCGAAATGTCAGTGTCCCTGCATCTGATTTTTGACGTAAAGAAGCAGGAATTTCTCCAGTAAGATCGTTTCCTGACAGATCTCTGCATGAACAAACAGCAATAATTGTTAAGATCATATATCTTCTTCTCTATCATGAATCCAAACTAAGATGTCGGAATTCTCACAAGACACGAAGCAATGGCAAGTTTCCTAGATCATCAGGTATTGATTCCGTCAGATTGTTGTGAGATAAATCACTGAAATGAAATATCATGTATGCAAGTTATTTTTTTGACCTTATATCGAAATGAAAGCAACTAAAATAAATGAAAAAACAACAAGTGATTAACAAATTTCAATAGCATTAGCATTCTAATTAAGACTAGCCGACTGGATATAACCTTCATCCCGGCTCATCATTGTGAGTAAAAGTTAGCTTGACTCATGATTGTTGAGTACAAAGGTAGCTGATCTGCCACTCTTGGAAATTATATTCTACCCATATCAAAAAAATTCATATGACCCGCTTCTGCCTTCAGATTATATACCATTTTCTTCAACAATATGACCCAGAAATTCCTCGGCTTAGTTCGCTCAACGGGTGTATAACACAGTAGGTGCCGGTGGCACATAATAGGCATTTAGTTGATGCAAGTGACTCCACCAAAATCTTCTGGTAACCTGGATTTCAATATACTCATAATGCTTTTATATTCAAAATCAAACTATTTCCTGTTCTATGCTATAAAGCTATGGTCTAGAGTATCATACTGTATCTTGTGAACCCTCTGGTACGTTCTCTGCCAAGAAAAACAATACAAGTGCAAGACCCACGTATCATATTCCATGTGTGTATTTCAATTATTATCCAATGCACATGATCTCTTGACTAGATTTGAGATTTGAACATAAAATTCTTCAGTTAGGTATAATAAATTTTCTATAATTCCACATCAATCACTACCATCTTAAATCCTATCATAGATAACTATGATTATAGTTCAGAGTTAAGATGAGTAGAAGATAATTGACATCCAGAGGTCAGATGTTCCATAAAATATATAAACAATGTCAATTGAGACAGGTAGAACACTAAATGAGGATTCATGTGACACCTTATAGAATATATTTGTCTGATATGGTAATTGCTTGCGGTTAAGCCATCAGATTCAGAATTCCCACATCATAATGAACTGCGTTATAATAAGATCAAGGGCGTATATCCAGCTTGTTGTTGGATAATCTTTTGAGCATTAAGTTCGACACTAAGGCTAATGATAATAAAGAGCAGATAATTTCCAAATTGATCTAACAGGAATTGTAAAAGAGCAAACATAGAAAAGCATAAAGCTAGTAGCACTTACAGGGACTCGATTCTTTCGAGCATCGCAAAATTAGGGGATATCGGGCCATTTAATGCACTTGAAGACAAATTTCTGTAGAACATTTCAAGCATACTTAATAATTTTGTAGATTGATCTTCCACATCGTGTAATAGTTTATTTACTTGAGTCGAAAACTTACATGGCCACGATCCTTGTTAGGTCAGTACCGGAGCTGCTACAGTTCAAGCCTTCCCAAGCATATTGGCTTGGAGTACATGGATCTCCCATCCAGTTTCGTTTCACACTATATTGAACCCTGATCTTGTTGATTTCGGCAACTGATTCCCAAAAGCAAAATCATTAGATTGCAATTCCAGACATGGAAATGACATGTCTTTGCTTGATAGAATGATTGCACAGGGCAATTCAAAGGCCTAAATGGATTCAAGGCATGTGATACTGTAGTCACCAAGAAATTGGGGAACTAATTTAGTTCCTTTATGAAGATATGTGGGAACTTGACGTTGATCCGACCAAACCGAGATTACTCAAAAACACTACGAAACCCTAAATCCAGCGAAGAAAGGTGGAGACTACAACATACCGTCGTCGGAATCGGTCAGGTTGTTCTTGAGATGCATAAGCGTGTAGACCTCGAGCGCGTTCAGGATTGGGGGAAGGGAGGACGAGTTGGTTGAGTTGAGAGTCCACTGGTACCGCGGACTCGGGGTCAAGGGGCGGTTACCGTTGTTTACGGTGTCCGACACGAGCTGGGGCGGGGTGTAGTCGTTGGACAAGCTGCGGCCATTGAGGTAAATGTTGAACGCCCGCGAGTTGTTCGGGAGAAGTTCCGAAAAGAGGAGGTTGGCGTAGAACTCGTTGACGGGGGCGCCCGAGTCCGCGAAGTCCCAGTAGAACTCCAACTTGTCGGAATTGAGGGGGACGGCCGCGGTCTGCATGACCACCAACGGCGCCTCGACCCGATCACCGACGCTGTTCGTTACGTTCAAGGTGGTGTTTAGGGAGTCCAAAGATGGCTGGAAATGGAGCCTCTCGGACCAGGAGACGAACGGTTCCCACAGCCGATCATACCGGTCCTCGGGATACCTGCATAATGGATGAGTCGCTCGTCATCATTTCATTTCCTAGCCATATAAATACTACCTACCTGAACACAACACGCAGCTCTCTCTCTCTCTCTCTCTCTCGCTCTGTGAAATCAAAAGACTTCATTCTTGAAATCTGTCACCCACCTTACCACCTCGTTCGCCGTGGTTCCCAAGTCGAGTCGAACGAAGAGGACGAGACTCGTGGTACCGCTTAGAACGTCAGTATAGAGGGCCTCGTTCAATGGCCTCAACTCCAGAACAGATATGAAAGGGGTGCCGAAACCAGTATTTATCAGGCACACTGACACGGAATCGGCCAGTAAGTAGACGACGACCTCAACGGCGTAGGCTGTGGATGCGTCCGTGATGTTCACGGTCTTACAGAAATTGACGTCGATGTGGAGGTCAAACTGCAGCGGCAGAGCGCCACCGCCGGCGCTTCGCGAGCCATCATAATCTCCGTGCATGAAGGTTGCTCGCACGAGATACGCCGTGTTCTTTTGCACCGTCGTCAGGGTGTAGCAGTTTCGAGAGCCACTGGGGAAGCTTCTCAGGTTCTGTAGTGGTGTTGAGACCGAGTTCAAGTAATTGGATGCGATGCTGTGACTCTCTCCGGCGCTTATGTTTCGGTCATCGGAGGTGTACTCTATGTCCGTGCTCTCGACTTCATAGCTGGAGTTTGCGGCGCCTCCACAGTCGAGGCTTATGAAACCTGCAGAAGACGGTTTGCTTATGATATCGTACAAGGAAGGGAGAAGAAAATAAGGGGTGGACGTTTCATGTTGCGCGCTTGCCTTTGGTGCTGGTCTCGTTGCCCAAATGATGGGCGACGGCGGAGACGCTCAAAAGAATGAGAACAGAGAACCAAAGTGTCATCTCCGACGATCCAGAGCGGCTCATCTCCCCTCGCGATGATCCTCCTCTTGCACCGAGCTACGTCGGATGAATGGCCTTATGCGGTGCTTTATGCTGCTGTCAAGCTGCGGTGGCGGGGGTGTGGCTGGAAGGAAGGAAGAAAGAGGATAAGAGGCGTTGTCTGAGAGAAGCCTAAGCGCTCTCCTGTCGGAGTACGAGATTAAGGGAGAAGAATTCAAGTCAGCCATGGAAGCTTGGAAGTGGCCCTCTCACGAGTACGACAGCATGACCAGGTGGCAAGGAGGACTTCCATGATCCTCCATCCAAGCGCATGACCGGAGGAGCCCAGAATCGTGCAGTACAACCGTTCACGTACAAGCGAAGTGAATCATGCAGTACAACAGTGACGATAACATTATAGGCACAAACACATGTGCATAAAGATGAAAATAGTGATGATGAAGAAAAGTAAGAAAACAACAGCGATATTGAAATGATGTTAACTTATGGATCCCACGTGATGAGACAAATGATCGGTCATTTGTGCGACTAGTAGGCTCGTAAGAAATTATTCGCTTTTAATAATGGACGTAATCGTACAGTTTTATCCTTTCCAAACACGTAAACTTCAAAACACACATTTGAGGGTAAGGAAGATACGACAAACTTATGAGTCATTAGTTTTTATACTCCTCAATCAATGTGAGATTAAATGACTTTATCACCCATATATTCTTAGAATAATCATAATAAATTTAGAGGACATTAATAACATTTATATTTTCAGTTAACGGTTAAAATAACAGTTAATTGCCGAAGATAAATACTAATAACATATAAATGGTAAAGAATTTTCCTTCGCCTGTCTTTATCTCTCAAAGTCACTGAAATATTAGAATCTACGACTCAGTCCGAAGACTAAATAGATGATGAGAAATTGAGGCCACATCACTTTTGAAAATGATTTTGGTAGATGGGATTCAATGCCTCCAAGTGGACATAAATGGACATGACATGAAACATCAAATCACCCTAGAAAACAAAGTGTTGATAAATAGCACACCTTTTTTTCCTCCCTCAAAACATCATAATAAGTCAAAGTAGCAGTGCCTCCTACTGACTACCAAACCATCATTTCAGCATTTAAAGTTGGAAAGTCAGCATTCGAAAGGCTGTGAAAACTTATTTTTGCATTTTCAATGTTTTTAATCCTTATTTTATTTCCATTCCAACACAAAACCTTTTTTTTAATATGTTTAAAAATAAAAAAGAAATAAACATTTAAATTTATTCTAAACATAATTAGAGATATTAAAGCTTACCAATACAAACTCATGAGATCACATTTAAATTTAAATCTTATAGGAGCCACTTTGATCAAAGAAGCATTCTCTCTGTCCAACTTGGTGAACTCTAATAGAGAGAATGGTGGAATGAATCCCAAACTAAAATATGGTTCCAGAAAGCAGATACCAGTCTTCAAAGATCATATTATTGGAGAGACATTGAAACGATCAAACCTCGACTTTTAGTGATCACAAACCACTCATCACCTTGCTGATGGAGTGAACCTTGGGAACTGTTCTACTTCGAACGCAGAGGTCTGGCTTCTTTCAGATGCAGTTTGTGTGTGTGGATTCCAGTTGCTTGTTGTGGATGGGAACTCGGACCTGTAATAAGCGCTCTCTAATGCAAAGCTCTCCTTCAGCTCCATGACGACGTCGGCCATGGCCGGCCTCCTACGGGATTCATGCTCTGTGCATCTCAGTGCTACATCAGCAGCTTTCCAAACGGAATTTATATCGTACCCTCTCGTCAGCTTTGGGTCGATCACATCCTCAATATTCCCGTTGTTAAGCTGTTGGCGTGCCCATTGAGCTAAACCAGTAGCATGGTTACCGGTGGCAACGATAGGAGGTTGTCCGGTCATCAGCTCGAAGAGAACCACCCCGAAACTATACACGTCACTCTTTGCGCTGAGTTGGTAGGAAGAAGAGTACCTAAAGTAGAGCAAAAGCAAAGCCAAATTAGCTTTCATCTTGTTACTGATAGCAGATAAGATTTCTTCAACTATACGAAGAAATCTCTCTATTCTGTTGAATAAGAAATGAACATGTTAATGCATTCAAGTTAAAGCTTCTGGTGGATTAATTTACGTCGATCATCGCTTTGGTATCGGAGTTTTTTATGAATCTCAAGCTGTGTAGGAAAGAGGAAAAAGAAAAAGGAAGGAGCAACCATGACTTACTCTGGATCAAGATACCCGGGGGTACCAACCACTGCTGTGGATACATGAGTATGGTTGGCATTGTCGAAAGCCCTTGACAACCCAAAATCTGCTATCTTGGCCTCCAGGCTTTCGCTCAATAGGATGTTTGCGCTCTTCACATCTCTGTGGACTAGTGGTGGTTTGCATCCCTTGTGCAAATACTCCAGTCCTGCATGTTGTTGAAGCCCATGGATGTAGAACGAAGAGAACGACAGAAAGCCTTATGGATGGGTCAGGTGGATTAGTGTATGTATTAGTGCCAAACCTTGTGCAGCTTCGACTGCGATCTGAAGACGCTGTCCCCAGGTCAAAGCAGTAGCACCGGGAGTTTTACCTATTCAAAGGCAATTAAATCAAACATCACTGAAAATTACTTTGTCAATTGAAAACGTTTGTGGAAAATAAACAAAACAGATTGCACCATTTATCGAAACAGGTAGTAATTACAAATAATCCTACTTTTGGGATATAATTGGAAGAAAATGCATGATTCTGAACCTCTAAGATGATCTTGTAGGGTTCCTTGTGACATGAACTCATAGACAAGCGCCAGGTGTTCTCCATCCATGCAGTAGCCAACCAAAGAAACAAGGTTCCTATGATGTATCTTTGCCAAGTTCTGGGCCTGTAATAAGAACCTGATTTCTTAGATGCAGAATTTAAGAAGAAGAAGAGCATGAACCCTCGACGATGTACGAACAAGAAGATAAATGTTGGAAAAAGCATAATTAGGATCCATAAGTTCATTATCATAAAAAAAATAGAAAGGAATTTGACCAAATAACCAAAAATATTTCTAGATTTATGACCTGCTACTGTGAGATGAGATCACCTGCATTGATCACTACATCTTCACTGGAAAATCACTGCTTCGGTTTCCAGTGATTTTACAGTATATTCAAGGATGCAAACCACATTCTGGGTTCAACATAATGTTAATGATCTAAGAAAGCTACTGCTAGTTTGAAGCCAACTACTGTATCACTAACTTGGGTCAAACTAATTACCTCGGCTAGAAACTCTTTGGTGCCTTGGGATGATGATTCAGACCGTGTCTTGACTGCAACTCGAGTACCATCTTCTAAATAGCCTAGGAAGACAGTACCAAATCCGCCTTTGCCAAGGACATTTGTGAATTTCCTCGTTATTTTCTCCAGCTCCTTGTATGAAAATTGTCGATTCTCATGTTGAAAAGGATTCTCTGGATTGACTGTTGCTGGTATGGAGAAGTTATCAATCATTGGCCTCGCATGGATATCTTGCGTTGATCCTTTAATGTGAAACACAGAAAGTGGGATTAAGTATGAGCTTCCTAGGCATGCCTATGTTGAAAGTGAAATGGCACTAACATAGAAGCAAGGGTTTGCATCAAGAAACACTTACCTCGAAACTTTCTTACTCTCCACACAACAAATATGATGACTACAAGCAGTAGAACCACCACCACAGGAACCACAATGTAAGTCACAGTCATGGGTGTTCCACTCTTCTTCTTTGATCCATTCGAAGTTCCATCAGTACCAAGATTAGGATTGGCTTCATAGCTAGCAATGAGTTATGCAATTTGATATTAGAATTTAATATATAGAAAAAATGGGAGTCTGACAAACGAAGCAGAATGCAGTCTAAGGAAATTGTAAAAAATGTAATAACAAAATGCAGAACTCATGTATATGTAGTTAGAGTGAGTCAGCTCATTTGTTTCTCACCTTCTTGCACAAACATAGAGATCCCATAACAAATGCTGCTAAAAGGCGGGCAAGTCATGAGACTCCCATCAATGCCAAAAAGCGAAGATCAATGTACAATTGTACATAACCAACTACAAAGCCATCAATTTTCTCAATCTTATTGTGATTTGTCTATCTGATCCTCCATACAATATTCAACGTAATAGTCAGATGAATCTTACATCTTTCATCTTCAATCCTAATCCTACCCTTATACTACAGTTAGTTGATCAAGGCTACAATACCGCAAACTACTTAACAAAATTGTTAGATATTTAAATTTGAAGTAATGATGCTCTAATATGCAACCCAAACTCCAACATAGTCTTTTTTTTATATATTTTCTATATTACAGAACTCCATCTTTGTTTTCATGTTAAGTATACAATCTTTAACTCAGTGCAAAATTAGAGTCCTTGGCATATATAGGATCTCCACCATACGAAAAGCGAGTTTAAAATGTACAAATCGTACCTAAGCATACACAGCCGTATACCAAGAAAATGCTTGTTCATTATATGTTAAAAAAGTTCTAATGTCTTATAAGGTTAGACACCGGTGAAGAAGATTACTAAAAATGTAGTAGTAGTCTTAGAAACAATTGATGCGAACGTCTAGTAAGGGGAAGGGTGAGAACCTTGAGCTTCAATTTGCAGACACTAATCCTATCTTAAACATCTTATTTTTCTATTACTCAAGGCTAACCTGAATGCATTAATCGACAACAGAAATAAACACCAAGGAAGTTGCTCATGCACTTCTAATGCAAGTCCAGGAACATGTCACTGTAAGGGTGGCAAACCTATATTGAACAAGTTTCTCTTAGACTTGAAGCTTTCCTTATGGCTTAGTACAGATCAGTTCAATGTAGGAGAACATTATCAAGGATATCATTGCAATACCATAAGGTCCAGAGAGAAAACAAACCTAAATGTCAGTGCTCCTTGTTGTGATTTTTTCAGTAGAGAAGCAGGAATTGACCCATTAAGATTGTTGCCTGTCAAATTTCTGCAGAAAATGCCACAAATTAGAGCAACCAAGTTTTCTACTATAATAACAGGAATGTTAGCAATCCTTACAGGACTTGGAGTGACGACAATGTTCCTAAAGCATCAGGTATTGGTCCTGTTAGGTCGTTGTAAGACAAGTCACTGAAATGGAAAGTCACATATGCAATTAGTTACTCTCTTCAGAAATATCAGAATAAAAGGAATTACAGGAAATAAACAGCAACAAACTAGTTGACCACGATGTTCTACCAGGACCAAAAGCTTTATGCATTGATCACCTTCATAACATGTCATTAAGGGACATTGGTGCCACTATCGTTGGGTTTAGCATGTTCAACATGTCTATTGGAACGTCTAGCAGTTGTGTACAAATTAGGTAATTATTTGCTGCAATGAAATACATCAGAAATCCTATTGTGACAGAGCTTCTTTCTAGTAAAACCCTGTTCTAATCAGAATTGCTAACGAGACAATTATCGGTGTATATTAATCTATTATACCATTGTGTTTGAGTTGAGATTTTGCAAGATGATGTGATGAGAGATTTCCTTTTCATTTTGGAGACCTTCATTATCGGTACGTCAAGGCATGTTTTTAGGGAGGTCGATAAGGTTGGCGGATGGCTTGCCGACTTAGGGAGATGTAATAAGTTGGATTCTACTTCGGTAGACTCAGTTCTAAAGAGTCACCTGTCTATTTTTCAACTGTAATCCCTTTGTTTTTTTGTAACTCAGCTCCTTAAGTCTTAATAAATTTCCTTTTTCAGACAAAAAAGATACTCGACAGGCAGTTTTAAAAAGTAATGAATATAAAGACATCACATGATAATAGTAAAATATTTCGATTTGAGATGAACCATATACATTAAACTGCTAATTATTAATATATAATTCAATCAGTAGGATGTCAAGTCCACATACATGCACTAATTAAGTAGCTTATTCGATGCAACAGTTGATTATAATTAAGGCTCTATAGTTATGTGAAAGTTTAACGAAACACTAAATACAATATTTGAGGGTCTATATGTCATCTATCCAGCTTATTTTTGGAACATCTCTTCGATAGAACACATGAAAAATAATTGTATGGCAAATTCTTAACCGAACAAAAAATATTGCGACTCAATGACAGACCAAATTGCATCTCTTCAATAAATTGATGTAGCATTCATCTTCAAATTCTAATCCTCAGAATAAAAAATAATAATAGAGCTACTAGCACTTACAGGTACTTGATTTCTGTGAGCTTAGCAAAAGAAGAGGAAATAACTCCAGTCAATGCACTCGAAGACAAGTTTCTGCAGAACATTTTTGTCAGTCAGAAATGATCTCCAGGACCATTATATTTTCTTTGTTTTCTAATGGAAAACTCACATAGCTATGATCCTTGATGAATCGGTTCCATAGCTACAATTTAGGCCATCCCAAGGGTATTGTTCTGGGGCACATGGATCACCCATCCAACTTCTCTTCACTTGATATTGTTCCTTGATGGCATTAATGGCATCAGCTGGTTTTCGAAATGATCAAATACCAAACTTCAAGTCATTACAGTGTAATGGCATGACATTTGCTTGATAAAATGATCCAAAAAAGGAAATTGAAAGTGCTGAAAGCATGTTCTGCAAGATATCAACAAGTTCTGAGAAAGATCAGGCGAAAAGCAGAGGACAACTTCGGACCAAACATGTCCGGCAATACGAGTCATTGGAAAAACAACAAACACCTTTCGTGCAATGCGCGACAGGGAACGCTTACGAGATATGTGCATGCAACGCAATTTCTCATCCAAGAAGGGAAGAACGTACCGTCTCCGGAGGCGGTGGCCGCCCGCGTGAGATGCATCGCCGTGAAAACCTCGATGGCGTTAAGGATGGGGGGCAGGGTGGACAGGCCCGTGGAGTTGAGGGCCCAGTGGTACTCGGACGCCTGATCCAGGGGGCGGGTGCTGTACAAATAGCCCACCGACTCGTAGGGCGGGGTGTAATTTTTCATCAGTACGTCGTTGAGATACACGTTGAACAGTCTCGAGGTGTTGCGCTCGAACTCGGTGAAGAACAAGTTGACGTAGAACTCGTTGTTTGGGACCTGCGCATCCGCGAAGGTCCAGTAGAACTCCATCTTCGAGCTGTTCCCCGAGGGTGTGGCCGCGGTCTGCATGACGGCCGTCGGCGGCTGGAACAGATCCTTCTCGCTGTTGCTGATCGTTTCGGTGGTTGATATCTCCATCCACGCGTCTGGACTCGTCCACGGCCGCCATATGCGATCGTAGGGGTCATCGGGATATCTGCTCATCAACCAAAGCGCGAAAAGAAACCGAAAATAACGTCAAAAGAAGTCAACCATGAAGATTCTGTAAGATTCCTTACCTCAACGCTGAGCTATTTGTCGAAGGTCCGATGTTAAGGCGATAGTTAAGAACCAGACTCTGCGAGGTGTTTGCAGAAGGATACATGACATCCACAAGCGGCCTCAGCTCCAGTGCAGATATGAAGGGAGTTCCCGAGCCCGTATCCACCAAGCACACCGATACAGAATCCGCCAAAGCAACGGCCACGGCCTCCACCTCGTAAATGCTTGTCGGATCACTGACGTTGATCGTCTGCCAAAAGTTGACATCCATGTACAGATCGAACAGCAGCGGCTTGACGGCGTTCGCACGGTTCAGGTCGTCGTAGTTCCCGTACATGAAGGTCGCCCTCACGATGTACTTCCGGTACTGAATCACCGGCTTCAAGGCGTAGCAACTTCGGGAAGCGTTGGGAAAGCTTCGCACCGTCAACAGTAGTTCGTCGAGCGAGGAAGACACGTAGTTTGAGGCGACTTGGTGATTGATCCCCGTGTCCGTGAACTGGTCATCGGATACGTAGAGTATGTCGGTCTTACCGTGGGTGTAATTAGTATTGCTGGTTATGCCACAGTCGATGCTTATGAAGTCTGCCAAAAGACGAGACGATGATTCAGGCGAAAAGCTTAAGCAGAGAGATGCGACATGAGCTTATCATCTACTTGCTAGCAATTATATGATCACAGCCTGCATAGCATCATAACCATAACACTATCGAGGAAACCATAAACTAAGGATTCAAAATGACAATGCAAACATCTTTATGATTAGCTTTAGACAAAGAGATGGATCACCTCGACTGTCCTGGCCATGAACTGTGACGAGTACTGCTATCTCCAACAGAAGATAGAACCAAAGAGCCATCCCTCTCGTCCCGAAGCTGGGATGATCCCTCGGTCAGCTTTTGGCAGAGGGAGACGACTTCGTGCTTAATACTTCGTTCTGGGTCAACTACTCCATCCCACGAAGAATAAGAAGGAAACCACGTTAAGGGAACGAAGGTATATTATACTTCATACATATACTTCGTTCTTTTGGTAAGTGGTTTGATTCAAGCGGATGCATGATTAATGACATCTGCTTCCAGCTACATGTATTAGATTACTTGTCATGCCAGCCTTCTTCTGTGAATAATAAAGTCCACCGAGCGAATGCAAGACGTGTTCAATTAGCAAGAAATACAGGTGAGAATTTGAGATCGTAAGATGACGGTGTTCTCGACAAAGTCAGATGCGTTGACATAATCTGGCCCGTGGTTTCTTCTCAAGAAACGTGACGGACATTAAGATTCGTGCATCGATACATCCTAGCTAGTGAAGAAGAAAGAGACCTCTACGAAATGACCTTCTGACTCGTGCGTGATTGGGGGCACTTCCTAAAGCTTCGAGACGGTAATGGCTGTTGGTGCAGGACAATGCACAAAACATGCCCTGCAGATTCTTCCTAAGCCATTTGTGTCAATGTCAATCATGCTTGCCACGCATGAGCCAATGCCTCTCCAGGAGAATGTCAAATCCTACAGGCTAGCTGAAGGATTATGAATTGTATTCTTATGTTTGAGAAGTAAAGGTGGGCGAAGAAGAAGGGAGAGAGAGAGAGAGAGAGAGAGAGAGAGAGAGAGATATAGTTGGATTTGGACAGAGTATTATCCACAAGGATCAACCTGCACTGTACACAAAACACAGCGTAACGACAGGGCACTGTAGCCTTCACCATGGTTTCGGAACCAACGTTTCAGTTTTGCTCGCTGCACAATTCGAACCACGCACATCCAAGATTCACCCAGAACTTATTTAGCTTAGTGTTTACCGTACATTCATCAAAGCACAACATTATAGTACATATCAGTCTCTAAGATAAAATTAGAGCTCGATTGAACGGAGAAGTAACCATCATCCCACACAGCGCATGGTTCTATCTTGCTGATGGAGAGAACTCCACAAATCGTTCTATTTCCATAGCGGTATTCTGGCTCGCCTCGTTGGTTTCTGCGTAGATGTTACTATTGCCCATGGTATCACGAGGACATTCCAGTGCCAAGCTCTCCTTCAGCTCCGCTACAACTTCCGTCATGGTGGGTCTCTGGTGGGAGGCTTGTGCCGTGCACCTAAATGCTATATCAGCAACCTTCCACACCGAATTCACGTCGTACTCCCCCTGCAGCTTGGAATCGACGACATCCTCGATATTCCCGTTGGCAAGCCTTTCGCGCACCCGTTGAACTATATGAGCATTCTGTCTGCCTATAAGAATTGGCGGCTCAGCTGTGATGAGCTCCAACAGGATCACCCCAAATCCGTACACATCACTCTTCTCACTGAGTTGGCAGGAGATGTAATACCTGAACAAGCGCCAAAGCACATCAGAATTAGCCTCACTGTCATGGTTCACTATATATGTTACACGACTCATAATCACATAAGTTCAGCCGTGAGGATGAGAAACATTCTTCCTGTTTTTAGA